GCTTGGAATATACATTGTTGAGTGAAATAAGTCACTCTGAAAAGATTACATATTGGCTAACTCTATGATTTGTTCTGAAAAAGTCAAAACCACAGGTCAACAGTAAAAGGACCAGTGGATACCAGATGTTCTGGAATATCGGAGAGGCAGTAGAGAGAGGAATAGATGGAACTATTCTGGGATTCTATAAGTTACCATTACTATGAAATCAAATCTAGATAAACTTATCACAGGATAACTTGAGACTAATCTCAAAGTAGGTACACAAATTCTAAACAGAATAATATAAAATTAAATCAGCATTTTTAACACTGATGTATGCAGAGTATACAAAATTTTAGGCACCCCAAGAAATCAAGCATTTTACTGAGGACAAATACATTGTAAAAACACATAGTTTATTCTTGGGATGCAAGTATACTTAAATTCTTAAAAACCACCCATTTTCTCATTAAACAAGGATTACTGAGCATACTGAGCACACACACCTGATGAATGCTACTCTTCACACTGGAAAATTGATGTGAGCATTGAAGAAACCAGTGGAATAAGTGTGGAAGGATTGTAGTGTGGAGACAGTGAAGGAGGCAAAAATCTATCTATGTAGTTAGCTTGTACCAGAAACTTGCTATTCCCTTAAGCATAGAATTCTGCCCTTCAGTCCTTACACATAATCATCCACAGAATCAATATGATACTGAACCTGGTTTCCCTACATTTATACCAGGATATGTTATTAAAAAATGATTATCTGATTCAGCCAATTCATTGCCTTTCAGACAAAGAGTAAACTAGCTCTTTGACCATGAACATGGTTGAAGAACTTTAAATGTATGCAAAAAATAGAGCAATGAAACCTGCTAATTTTGGGGGGAGGTGAAGTCTGGTAGTGGGGCCGGAACTCTGGGCCTGGGTGCTGTCCCTCAGCTCTTCAGCTCAAGGCTAGCGCTCTACCACTTGAGCCACAGTGCCACTTCCGGCTTTTTTCTTTTTGCTTATGTGGTGCTGAGGAATTGAACCCAGGGCCTCATGCATGCAAGGCAAGTGCTCTACCACTGAGCAACCTTCCCAGCCCACCTGCTGATTTTCTTAAACTGGGATTTAATTTAGTGTTTGCTAGACAGGTGCTGAGTCACACTCCCATTCCTGAAGTTGCTTTAAGAAGGGGGAAGAAGAAGGGAGAAGTCAAGGGCGTAAATTTTATCATGATATATTGTATGCATGTATAGAAATAACACAATTAAATCATTTTATACAAATAATCTATGCTACTAAAACTGTAACAAATAGTAAGCAATTATTACAGTTCAATTTCATTACACTATTACTAGTAATTAAATTATTAGATTTTGTGAGAAACATGAATTCTTTTAAAGCTTTAGATCCAAATTGAAAATTACAGAAGCATTTTAGCAAAATATCTACCTCTATAATTATATGGAGAAATATTTAATGAAATTTTAAACTAATTTTAATGGCATATGAAGTTTATATGTATGTGTGCAGTTAAAATGGAAATGAAATATATAAATAAATATATGAGAATTTTATGTTTTGTTGGATATGTGTGTGTGTGTGAGTATGTCCGTGTGCACTTCCCTATTGGAGTCAGTTGTTGAACATTTATGAGCACAACACTATTGAAATAACATACATTTGAGAGAGGTCTCAAAATCCAACACATGCATTTGAGAATGACAGCTGACTGGATACTTTTACATCTACTTGATCTTTGATCACAAATCCTTATTTCTCCTGAGAAGAATAAGGACAGATCACCTGAAAAAACAAACATTTTCTTTTCTGTGGAAAAAAAACAAGAAGTAAATCTTCCCATTACAAATTAACCTGAGTTGGAGGGTTTTAATTTGATCTACAACCTGTGACTTATGTGAAATCAAGGAACTAGAAATGATGTAGCCTCGTTCTAAAATGATGGAGCCAATCAATGCTCGGATCTTGTGAGGGCTACAAGTGTGGCTCAAGTGGTAGAGCCCCTGCCTATCAAGTATAAGGCTTGAGTTCAAGCCCCATTACTGCCTAACAAACTCAAGAACCTCCGGAAATCCACAACAACACTAACAACTAAACAAATTTTTAAAAATACCTAAAGGAGAAGGTACTTTCCTATGTTTGTTGGAAGGTTCAGTGAGTTAATAACATATATAAAATAGTTTCAACAGAGCTTGCTACATATTAAATGTTAGATAATTGTGTGCTCTTATTATACTCTGTTTGCAAACAATGACAGTCCTTGTACATACTTCAGCTCATAAGTGAGTATAGTTCAGGTAAAACTTAGCACAACTAATTACTGGTTAAAGTCCATTGGAGTTTTACCCATTAATAGATATTGCTAAATTTCTTTTTATAGAGACTGCAGTAATCTGCATGCTCATTGCATTAGTCATCTTGGGCTGTTAGAATAAAATAGCACAGACTTGATAGCTTAAACAATAGAGATTTGTTTATTTTGCTAATGTGAAGGCTAGAAACTTGCAAGGCCAAAATCTGAAGGATTCAGTTTTTGACAAGTGCTATTTTCCTGGTTTATTCTAGTTCCATCCTCACATGGAACAGAGAATAAGGGAAGAAAGGAGGAAGAGAAATGGAGAGGGAAAACAAGAAGGAAAGAGAAAATAGGAATGAAAACTCTTGTTCCCTCCTTCTCCTTCTCCTTCTCCTCCTTCTCCTTCTTCTTCTTCTTTACTAGAATGTGACTTAGGACCTTGAAGCTTAGCAGACACTTGCTGTATTACTACTTGATATCTCTTGTGGGTCCCCTCCCCTCCCCCCTTTGCCTAAACTAGTTACTGACCAAGTTCCTCCTCCCTATGCCTCCAGCAGAACAGGGATTACAGGTGTGTGGATCATACCTAGCTTGTTGAGATGAAGGTTGTGTTAACTTTTTACTCAGATTGAACCAACCCAGTCTCCACCTCCTGAGACGCTATAATTACAGGTGTAAGCACCACTTCTGGCCTAGCCTCTCATCTTCTTTTGAGGACGCTGACCTGTTCTGGAAGCCCAGCCTCATGCCCTCATCTAAACCTAATTACATCTGACAGGCCCTGGCTCTAAATATGGTGGCACTGTGGATTAGGTCTTCAAAATGAACTTTTTGGGGACACATTCAGGCCATAGCTTCCATTGACAATGTATTTGAACATATTTTTCTAATTTCTAGCTGTGTTTTACAAGACTTTGGATCACTAGTCTCAGAGGTAAAAATTATCTAATTTTAATTTCTCTTTCTCTTACATTATAAAATAACTTACTATGTGTTTAAAATCCATTTGAATTAAAAAATTTATTTTCTTTACCCAATTATCTACCGTTATTAGACATTTTCACCTCTTCCCCCTTCCCATGTTCTTAATTCAAAAATATTAGTTCCATAAACTGTGTTATAGAATTTACCACTTCTAAATTTTTTTTGGGGGGGAGGTCCGGTCGAGGAGCCTGAACTCTGGGCCTGGGCGCTGTCCCTCAGCTCTTCAGCTCAAGGCTAGCGCTCTTCCACTTGGGCCACAGCGCCACTTCCGGCTTTTTTTTCTTTTTGCTTATGTGGTGCTGAGGAATCGAACCCAGGGCCTCAGGCATGCAAGGCAAGCACTCTACCACTGAGCCACCTTCCCAGCCCCCACTTCTAATTTTTTTGAAAAATGGAATAGTATTTCTTAGTTTCATTCGGTAAGGTTTAATTTTTTTGTCCACACAGATTCTGAGATTTTGGAGGAGGTTAAGTAGAAATCATTTGTAACTCTACAAAATTTATCTTTTCTCATTGATATACCCTCTTTTACCTCCTCTCTCACTCTCTTTCTCTGGACTGAACCCAGGGTTTTGTACATACTAGGGAAGTCTTACACAGCCCATTTCTATTAGGTCAGGTTGGTCTGGAACTTGGCTTGCTGAGATTATAGGCATACATCATCCCATCTGACTGTTCAGGTCTCACATCTTCCACGCTTCACCCTCCTCCCACTCCCCCTTTCTCTTTCTCACTCCATGTTTTTCCTCTAGTATCATACTTTTTCTCATCTGTTTTTAGAACTCGTTGACTGTAGAGCACATGGGCAGCCAAGATGGCACTGAGAGGGAGTTGAGTGGGCAGAGCCTGATTGGCTCTATGTTCAGTGCATAACCAGTTTAGGTACATGATAGGGTGTGACCTTGACAGTGATTGGTTCCTCTTCCTCCCCTCCCATGCCACCCGCTCTTTTTTGCTATAAAAACTGCTTGTTCTGTGTTAATAAACGAGTTTTCCTGCTTGAGTTGACTCCCTGCCGCGTCTGGTTGTCTCCTGGGCTGAGAGAGGCTGAGGAACGGGCGAGCCCCACACTTACCTTTCCTTGGACCCCATCCGGCTTTCGGCTTTCGTGGGTCGGAGGAAGACCCAACAGTTGACAAAAATTGACCTTCAGTTATTACCCTAGATCCCGATTTCCACTGCTTTCTTTCCTGATTTTGTCTCTCTGCCATCCGCATCAAACATCCCTTACTCATCTACCTTCAGATCTCTGACTCTTCCATTTCTCCTCTAATACTCATTTAGCAAGCTTATTTTGGTTATTATATCCTTTAGTTTTTAATTTTTCCTTAAGCCTTTATTTATTCATTTATTTGCTGAGAATTTCTGTTTCTTTTTTATGTTTTTAATTGTAAAAATAGTGTACAGAGAGGTTACAGTTACATGAGTAAGGTAATGAGTACATTTTTTATGGAGCATTGATACCTCTTCCTTTGTTTTTCCCCTACCATCCCATCCCTTCCCACCTCCCCAACTACTCCTCCCCTCCCCACTGCAAGTTGTAAAGTTTGTTTTCAACATAGTGTCTTGTACATCTCATTGTTACAATGGTTCAACCTGTATCCTCATTTCAGCATTTGGTTATTTCCCTTCCCCTCCCCAAATTAGAAAAATGTATATATAAGATGCAGGCCACCAACATCAAATGCAGTGAAAACAGGGGTTGTACCATGGGGGAAGAACATACAAGAGAAACAAAAAAAATCACACAGTACATTTTAAATACATTAAAAATAATAGCAAGAAAGAAAAAATTACTTGTGTCCCTATCTTGGGGTTCATTTCACTTAACATCATCTTATATGGTCATATGTACATAGCCTTTGACCTTTTCTGCTTGTCCTAGACTTATACTAGTTATTGAAAATAAAGGAAACCATGGGACCTATGTTTCTTTGAGCCTGGCTTACTTTACTTAATATAATTTTTCCAAGTCTTTCATTTCCTAACAAATGGGGCAATGTCATTCTTTCTGATGGAGGCATAGAATTCCATTGTATAAATATACCACTAATTTCTCTTTCTCAATAGGTAAAAGTTGAGTTCCTAACCAACTTTTCATAAACTCTTATAAGTCAATGCTTATCAATTTCGGTTTTCCTGGGACTTCTCCTTTTAGTCCTCTAGTTGGAAATTCACCTTCAGTGATTCTGTTCTCTCCATTATCCATACTTGCTCCTACATCTAAGCCAAGTAACTGGAAAACTAGAAGGTTAAAAAAAAATCAAAATAAGGTATTTGCTTTCAATGCAGTATAACTTAAATTCCAGTCTTTCCCCCCAGTTCTCCTGCTATAATTCTCTTTTCAGAATGGTTCAATACAGTTTGCATGTAACTTTCTGGGCTCTAAGGCTCTATATCTGTATTCTTTCAGAGAGAGAGAGAGAGAGAGAGAGAGAGAATATCCTGGTGATGAGTTTCACCCAACCTAAGTATTCAGAAAATGGGCTTATACAGCATTTTTTTTATTTACTTATGTATTTACTCAGGACCTCATACTTGCTAAGTACAGTCTTTATTACTTGAGTCACACTTCCAACCCTTTTTGCTTTAGGTAAATATTTTGGATACTATCATTTGCTTTGTCTCCTTCAGGGTTTGGATTACAGATACCAATCAGCAGGTGCAACTGAACTTTGATCCTTCTGATTTCTGCCCATGAGTAACAGGAACAGGGATTATAGAAATAATCATTACAATCAAGCTAATGTTATCCATCACCTCACTCAGCTACACTCTCTCTCTCTCTCTCTCTCTCTCTCTCTGTATGTATGTGTGTATTACTTCAGAGCTGTTCTCAGCAAATTTCAATGTATGAAATATATTAAGTGGACTCACCATACTGCACATTGGCTTTCTAGAACTTCTACCTGAAATTTTGTACCATCTTGGACTACCTTTCAAAATTACATTAAAAGCAACCCCCAAAGTCTAGCTATAAGTTTGATCATTTAATAGGCTAATTAAGTTGGAGATAATTTTTAATAATTCTCTGTCCCATTACTACTATTTACTTTTCAGAATTCTCAGGTAACCCAGGTGTCTGGGCTATACACCTTTTTTGTTAGGAAGAGGAGGAAATAGTAGGGCTTGAATTCAGAACTTTAACCCCTGAGTCATTTCTCCATCCCCACTTTTTGCTGGTTATTTTGGAAATGGAGTCACACAGACTTCTTTGTCTGAGCTGGCTTCCAAACCACCATCTTCCAGGTCTCAGTAGCTGAGGAGCTAGGATCATCAGTTCAAACCACTGACACCCAGGAAAAGGCCAAAGTAGCAGCAGTAACATATTCTTCTATTCCTCCTCCTCCTCTTCCTCTTCTTCATCTTTGTCTTTGGCATCATTTCATTACTAGAAACTGAACTCGCGGCCTCATTGTTGCTAGACAGGTGCTCGGGCACCTGAGCCCGGCCTCCAGCCTACATTCATTGTGTACTTACTTCATTAGATTTGTGTTTAGGATTACTTCACTCAACTTTTTCTTTCTTAATAATCTTTTGGATTACTAAAATCATCATATTAGAAACTCCTGAGAAAGTTTAAATACTCATTTTTCTAACAACGTCAATAAAACACTTGCAATTGTCTTGGAGTACTGGGCATTTCCTGCTGAGGAACTGCATATGAAAAGGCTGCAAGGGGGCTGGGAAGGTGGCTCAGTGGTAGAGCACTTGCCTTGCATGCATGAGGCCCTGGGTTTGATTCCTCAGCACCACATAAGCAAAAAGAAAAAAGCCGGAAGTGGTGCTGTGGCTCAAGTGGAAGAGCGCTAGCCTTGAGCTGAAGAGCTGAGGGACAGCTCTCAGGCCCAGAGTTCAGGCCCCATGACCGGACCGCCCCCCCCCCCCAAAAAAGAAAAGGCTGCAAGGCATAAATGAATTTCTACAAAAACTTCAATGTGGCTAGAATTTAGTGAGTAAAGAGAATGACAGTAGGAGAGATCAGTAATGTCAATATGGTGAATGTTATACAGACTTAAGCACATTAAGGAAACTAAATTTGGCTCACTTTGTCCTAGATTCACTGGGAAGGCTTTGGGAGATATAAACTAGTAAGTAAGCTGGTTATCTGTACATTTCACACACTATGCTGGCATATGGAGATAAAAATGACAGAGAGACAATAGAGACAATGGGACCAAAAAATAAGCATTACATTTAGCCTGCTGATCAATGTGATTGTGATAGGAATGGAGGAAATGTAGAACAGTAGTACATGGGAAAGGCTTGCAGTTGGAACTGAAGGAATATTATGTCAAATGAATGTTGAGTAGTGAGGGAAAGTAAGGAATTAAGACTGTTTGGGGACAGAGCAACTGGGGAGATAGTGGTGCTATTAGCCCAAATGGGGTATTATACTCAGAAGGGTATTCGGGAGTTCCTTTTTGTGGCCATATTGAAACTGGGATATCTACTGGTCCTCAAGGAGAGATGAATGCAGAGGAAGAGAAGGCACTTGTTTGGATAAGAGGTCAGAATGGACCCACCTAAGTTAGAGGAAGACAAGCAAGAAATGAGGACAGCTGGTTCATCTTGGGGGTGAGTTTGAACAACAAATTCAAGGACAGAGATCTAACATGAGAAGTCAGAGAAAAAGATTAAGAAAAAAGAACTGAGAGTGAACAACTCACAAAGCGTAAGAAAAATTTTTAAAAAATCACAAAAACATAAAAAAAAAATCAAGCCTGACTGGTGAGTGACATGTGTGACAAGAAATCAAAAGGGAGCGAGTGGATGTGGTGGGAGGCAGAAGTAGGAAGATTGAGGGGACTGAGGCCAGCCTGGGCTACATACAGTTTGGTCTCAAAACTACAAGGCTGTGTAATCCTAGCTACTCTGGATGCTGAGATTTGAGGATTGTGGTTCAAAGCCAGCCTGGGGAGGAAGTCCGTGAGACTCTTATCCTCAATTAACCACCAGAAAACCAGAAGTGGCGCTGTGGCTCAAGTGGTAGAGCACTTGCCTTGAGCTGAGGGACAGCGCCCAGGCCCAGAGTTCAAGCCCCACGACTGACAAAAAACAAAACAAAAACAAAAACAAAAAAAACTACAAGGCTGGGGATATAGTACAGTGGTAGAGAAAACTACCTAGCATCATGGAAGCTTCTGGGTTTGCTCCTCAAGAGAGAAAATTGGTAAAAGTGGCTTAAAATTCACAAATAAGACTAGGAAAGTAGCCACTGTATCTGCCAGCAGAGATGCTTTCTCTGGGGATGTTCTGTCATGAGTGGATTTACAAGAAAATTGGGGGGGTGAGGAAATAGAATGGAGGCTAGCTGAGCCATCTGAGACCTTTTGCATAGAAAGAAGCAGAATCATAGAGTTAAATTTTCACAGAAAACACAATGACTTGCAAATTATTATTATATTAAACCAGAAAAACCATAGAAATTACTCAAGGCAACCAAATTGTATTACATCTGGTTTCTGTATAAAACTCACTTCAGCAGCTGGGCGCTAGTGGCTCACATATGTAAGGCTAGATAAAATTCCGAAGGACAGGGTTTAAAGCCAATCTGACAAGAAAAGTCCACGAGATTCTATCTCCAAAATAACCAGCAAAAAACACATTTGGAGGTGTGGCTTAAGTGGTAGAATACAAGCCAGACAAGCAAACTGAGCAAGTGCTAAGCCCTAGGTTAACACTCTGATACTTGTAAAAGCAAACAGACAAAATCACAAAACTTGTTTGCATTAAACAGAGGTATGGTGAAAAGGCATACAAAAGGAGAAATAGAACTCCATCCTCATGGAAATAAAAATAACTCTGGGAGACCCCAGAAGTTGACTGTTTACATGGGGTGTTCAGATCCTTATAAGGGGCACTGATTGTGACTGGAAGATCAGGAAAATGTAAATGACCTCAGCTGAACAGGAAGCATGAGAAAGATTTGATGAACTTGACTTGCTTATAAGTTAAACAATAAAAGTAAAGTTAAAAATTAAACCATTGAGCTAATAAAATCCTCATGGTTGCCTTACATAAAGACTAAAGGTTTTGAGTAATCATTTATAGCCAAGGGATTTGGACAAGTTGCAAAAAACTGAGAGAAATTTATGTGAAAGGAATGAAGATTCTGCATTCTTCCTCCTTCAGGTTAGCGTTCAAACTTTTGCTTTTGATATTCTGCTTTTGAGAGGTGGGCATAGGTCTTCATCCATTTGAGAACAGTCTAAATTAATAGGAAGGAAAGAAGGAAGGAAGGAAGGAAGGAAGGAAGGAAGGAAGGAAGGAAGGAAGGAAGGAAGGAAGGAAGGAAAGACGGAGGGAGGAAGGGAGGGAGGGAGGAAGGGAGGAAGGGAAAAAGGAAGGAAGGAGGGAGGGAAACAGACAAACAGAAAAGGAGAATGAATTTCTTGAAGCAATTACAGGTGACCATTGATTTTCCACTGTACACTTAAGGGTTTATTGGAACTGGACAATTCAGTGTAAGATTCATCTATTAAGCTTGTTTCTATTGCACACATATGATTTTACAAACCACTGATCATTGGTGATACAATTAGTTTCAAGGCTGAATTCTCACAGGGAAGATTAGAAATGCCGTTCTAACTTCTCTTCATGCCATGTCTCTCTTGAGCTGTAACTGTCAGGAGGCCCTGCACGTCTCAGCCTGTGGTGTGCAGCTTCGGCTCTTATCCGACACCAGTTTTGCCTTACCTTGACTGTCAAATTCCATTGCACTTATGAACTCCAGCAAAGATGTGAGTGCTGGTTTCCAGAAAAGCTGGTAAGGGCTTCTGTTGTAATAAGCATAAGGAGGGAACATTCAGTCAGAGCTAAGTCCTTCCATCTCACAGAAGTAAGAATTCCAGAAGCAAAACATTCCAGCCATTTATTTGACAAATGTTTACTGAATCGATGAATAAACCAGGGGTCAGTGAACTCTGAGGCTTAGGTTAACTAAAAGAATCTTTATAGTTATAGAGGAGATGAAACCTTGAAAGCTTTGTCTTAACTCTCATGATCCATATAATCTTTCCTATTCAGTTAACTGGCCTAAAGTGTGAACAGGAACGTAAGTAAGCACATAATTTTAACTTTTAGCAGTAGTATATTCAATCTCTGAACCGTTCTATTTTGCCAATGAATACTGGTTTGGACTTCAATTTTTGTTTCAATTTTTAATTTTGTTTGTTTGTTTCTCTCTTTCTCTCTCTCTCTCTCTCTGTGTGTGTGTGTGTGTGTGTGTGAAGACTGGGTCCTGAACTAAGGGCCTTTTACTCTCGTATGGCTTTTTCACTCAAGACTGAACCTAACTGACTTTCTAAGGCCATACAATTATTTACTAAAAAATCCAAGAATAGGAGCCATGTTATATAAAATATAAGAAGCTTCTCTCTCTCTCTCTAAATATATATATATATATATATATATTTGTTTTTTGCACTATTTTAAGTGAACAAATGCCAGCCCCTTGTGAACAGACAACCAAAATGTCTACTGGAACAGATGTCAAGAATTCAGAGCCAAACATTTCTGTGGATGATAACTTAAGCATGACTCAAGAGCAACCCTCTAAGAAAGGTAAAATCATGTCTAGAAATCTGGCTGTGGACACATCTGGCTTCTATATCACCTTGACTTCCCTTTTGTAGGTACTTAGCATTCTTCTTATTACTGTCATTGCCAAGAATTTCATATAGCTACAAAACATTCTTGCTTTCTAAGCATGTATTGTCATAAGAAATCTTAAAGGCATATTTGGAGATTAAAATAACAACTTATCAAATTTTAATCGGAAACATAGAAACCAATTTGTTTTGTGTGATTTTAAGACCAGGGTTTGTCCCCTTAAATCTTTTTATTCACATGGAGAGGCTTTTTCTTCCCACCATGTCATTGCCTTCCCTTCTTCCTCTCATCGATATTATAACTAAAGTATCTAAGTACTTTTCACTAGTGCTTTGGACTAAACCTTGCTGACTGCTTTATCAATTGGTGTCCAGCTTCAATTTTTCTCTCATTTTTCTGTTGCTATGTGGCCTATACTTACTGGGAAAGTCTGGGTGCTCTGTATCAGACCCTGCTGGGCCTTCCAAGGGTTGTAGTGTCCCCAAATTCTAATGATGTCTTTGTTGGCCATTACTGTGCTGACAAGACTCTCATAACACCATTCTAGGAGCTCCATATGAAATGTGAAGAAATGCCCCCTTCCATGGTAATAGAGCTCTACTCTTGATGTTTTATTTTGCTGAACTTTGATTTTGCCTTTCTAAGGCATTACACTATTTAAGTTCTCTCTTGAATCTTTTCATTTCTACTCTCACCCTTACACTCACCAACTACACACATTCTTCAAATCCCTGCTTGAGCAATGCTTCTAAGGGAGCTACCTCTTCCATTAACTCCGAAAGGCCCAGAGGACCAGCTACAAAACACCTTCCCTCCCTGTATTTCTGCAACATGGACAGAGAATTGTCTCCCTCTTCCTACTTAGGAGGGCTGGGAATAAAACGTTGATTATAAAACCTTATGTACTGTCTCCTCTTAGGCCTTTGTTCACTTCGACATGGGCTGGCCTTCATCTTGCACCTCTGTAATTTTTCAATTTCTACACAACAAATGAGCTTGAGCATTGCTATCACAGCTATGGTAAACAACACAGCCACAAGCACTCAGCCCAATGCCTCCACAGAAAGCACCTCCATAGACTCCCAGGGCTACTGGAATGAAACACTAAAGGAATTTAAGGCAGTGGTAAGTTGAGTGAGACTGGTGTCTGATTCATATGGTTTGATTAAAGGATTATCTTATGAAAAATTCAATGCACTTATCTGGCAAATGGCTTATTGAGTAAACACTATTGCACAAGTGTGTCTAAGGAGATTTCATCTCTGCTTAGTGTCTGTGAGTTTTATCACAAACTAAGATAAAATAAATAAATAATTTACCATTTAGTAGAAATAAACTCTTCTCTCATAATGATGAGAATTGCCAAAAAAAAAAAAACCAAAACAACAACCAAGTTTATCTCTCTCCTTCCAGGTATGTTTAATTAGCTTGTTTATAATGTTTCCTTCCTTATCAGCTTTTTTTTCTCCACAGGCTCTCATATTTTAATTGGTTAATTATTTGTGTCAGGATGACAGGAATGTGTTGGACACATATCGATGTCAACTTTTTTCTTTTATGAAATTGATAGCTTGGAGGAATTGGAGAATGGTTTAAAAGAAAGAGAACTGCTGATTATTGTTTTTCTTTTCAAGTCTTTACAGTAAAGTCTACTTTCTAAGCAAAGACAGTAAGGTTCTCCTTGTCATCTAGGTTTCTACATATGACTGGAATCCAGAAATCCAGGGAATCATCCTGAGCTCTCACAATTATGGCTCATTATTGGCTCCAATCCCTACTGGCTATGTGGCTGGAATATTTGGAGCCAAGTATGTTGTTGGAGCTGGCTTGTTAATTTCCTCAGTCCTGACTCTCTTTCTTCCACTGGCAGCTGATGCTGGAGTGGCTCCATTTATTGTTCTTCGGGTCATCCAAGGCATAGCCCAGGTACTAACGTTTTCCAAGTACATATAGAATATAGGTTCCAGAATGATCTCATGGATCTAAGATGGAAAAATTTTCCCCAGGTTATGGTATCAACAGGTCAGTATTCGATTTGGGTCAAATGGGCTCCACCAATGGAAAGGAGTCAACTCACCACCATTGCTGGATCAGGTAATTTATATCCTAATCTCACCTTACACGAACTGTCCATAAGTACTCACCAATGGTCTATCAAGAGAATTAAGATCTTATATTATAGTTACCCTGTCTTCATAGTCCTTGCTGCAAAGCACTACCCTATTCTAGCTTTCTAGATCAGAAATGAATGTTGGTCATACACCAAACATTCACCAACACATAAACATATATGTTCTGCACATATTTATTTTTAGACCCACAGAATCTGAATAAAGAATGAAGACACAGCAGAAGGAATTCAAGGCATAAATAGACTGATAATTGTCTGAGATTAAAGAGCTACTGAGAGAATTTGCACCTGAGTAGTCTGAGTAGAAGCTCATACTTTCAATCACCATGCAACTCAAACTTATAGAGAGCAAACAGAATACCAACATGGCCCTCTCACCCAGGACATCTTTGTATCTTTTGTTCAGGGTCAATGCTGGGAATCTTCATTGTTCTCCTTGCTGGTGGTCTCATCTGCCAGGACATAGGATGGCCTTATATCTTCTATATCTTTGGTGAGCTTTTCAAATCTCAGAATTTGACTTTTATGATAAAGAATGCTAGGCATAATTTCTGTGATGCAACTTATCTATGGTTAAGCAAATCCTAATAAATGTAGATGTTGTGAATCGTGCTGGCTTACAAAAGAGTATTTACGTGTTAGTAGTCATGCATATAGCTATAATAATCTTGTGACTTTAAAGACCTCAAAATATTTTATCTGGCTTCTAGATAGAACCCCACAGGATTTCATGGCACTATCTTAAATAAAATGTTGAAAATATTATCCTGAAAAGATCATTTTTGGTCAGATTTATTTACTAAGCTAAAATAAAAATAAAATTATCTTAAATTATCTTTTATTGTTATAAAAACCAACAACAAAAAATTATATCAGTGTGTTTGGACAGGAGAATTAGTTGCTCCTGCAGCAGATCATAAGTGGCAGATCGTAAGTGGCTTAGGAGAGTACAGAATAGACAGAGATTCTAAGGAAAGTTTTCAAAGACACTTTAGACTGTTCCAGAAGCAATATTTTACTACTTCATGATTTTTACTCTCATTGAGTTCTAGTTAAAATCTGCCTAGCTGCTGCTTTTGTATTTATTTATTAAAAAAAATTCTCTAAAAACAAAAAAAAATTCTCTATAGTCTTACCTGACAATTACCCAATTGCTTAAGTCCTTAAGTGTTTGCATTAGACGATAGGCCTCTAAGATAAAGGGATTCTATAAGAGCTCAATATAGTCACCGGAAAAAAAAATATGAAGATTGTTTACTAAAATATGTTATTCAAATCATGAAATCACGATTTCATGCATTTCATTTTGAGAAATTAAGTAGCAAATACAGCATAAGATCTCACTATTTGTTTAATCAATGTTAATATCCTCCAACCCCAATGTTCAATAAAAGTGTTTTATTTTTTATATTTATCTTTTCACATTTCTGCTTTTTTGTTTTTTGTTTTATGCTTTTGGTGCCAGTCCTGGGACTTAAACTCAGGGCCTAGGAGTTGTCCCTGAGCTTTTTTGCTCAAGGCTAGTGCCTATCACTTGAGCTTTACTTCTTACTTTTTGGAAATTCTTGGATATAAGAGGCTAAGAACTTTCCTACCCAGGCTAGCTTCAATCTGTGATCCTCAGATCTCAGCCTTCTGAGTAGCTAGGATGACAGGCATGAGCCACCAGCACCCGGCTTTTATCTCCCCATTTGATTCCATTCCTTGGTAGCAAAATTGTAATTTTTTAAATTTTGTATTCTCAAAATTCATCAAGTGTGGTATCTACTGTGGGATGCTTGTGAAAAAAATGTGTAAATGACAAGCTAGTCAAGTAAAGAGAACTCTTAAGATTTTCTTGTTTTGTTTTTGGTCGGTCGTGGGGCTTGAACTCTTGGCTTCGGCACTGTCCATGCGCTCTTCAGCTCAAGGAGAGCACTCTACTGCTTGAGCCACAGCACCACTTCTGGTTTTCTAGTGGTTTATTGGAGATAAGAGTCTCATGGACTTTCCTGCCCAGGCTGGCTTTGAACCATGATCCTCAGATCGCAGCCCCCTGAGTAGCTAGGATTACAGGCGTGAGCTACCAAGCGCCCAGCTACTCTTAAGATTTTCTTATGATTCCCAGATGATGAGTTTTAAGATGAGCCACACTGTCATTTAGTACCAATACTGTTAGGTTCCCCAACCATATAATAATGTTAAGATTTCTTTGTCTAAAATGTATTGGGGTAATCCATTGCCTATAAATTTACTATATCAGGAACTCAGGGTATAGCTTCAGGTGGTTTACTGGCCTTGAGTGAAAAAGCCAAATGAGAGTGTGATGCCTGCCCTGAGTTCAAGCCCTAGTCCTGGCCCAAATAAGGGAAAGTATAATACACAGCAACACCCTGCCTCAAAACTAACTAACTAAATAAATAAATAAATTCACTGCTATTAACTGAAGTGCTTTGAAAAAAGATAAGAGAAAGGCATGGAAGAGTTTAAACAAGAAAAGAACTTCATATAGCTAGCAGGAGGAATTCCAATCTGTACTTCAACAGTGAGGGTATTTTCAAATACAAGAGGCAACCTCAGTAATAACTAACAATGTGCTGTAGCTTCAACATGATATTACTTGACACTACCATAGCTCACTGGTTTCAAATAGCAATGATCATTTCCACAGTTGTGTGGGACAGCCAGGTGGCTCTGCTCTCTGTGTTTCTCATCTGGAACAATGAAATAGCTGGACCATAGTCCTCCTATGAAGACTTCCCAGAAGATGTGAAAAAAAGCCAGTGGTCCTTCATGGCTAGGTAGGGAATTGCTCCCAGGCCATTGGCAAAAGCACTTAACATGGCCAAGTCCACAGTCAAGTGGGGGGGAACTATACACTTAGGATAGCATGCAGTGTGCATGCAGACAGGAGCAGAGTATGTCACCCATAGGAATCCACTGCTAACCACATCTTCTTTTCCTAGGTGGAATTGGCTGTGCCTGTTGCCTTCTCTGGTTTCCTCTCATTTCTAATGAGCCCAGTAATCATCCCTTTATCCGTCCTAGTGAAAAGAGCTACATCTTGAGTTCACTGGCCCAACAGGTACATTGAGGAATTCCTTTACCATTTCTCATACCTGCCTAGGCATCTCCAAGGTAACAAGAATAGTAGAGCCGAGATGATGTTTTCTGTTGGAGGGGTATTAACATGTGTTTTCTTCTAGGATTGCTTGCCAGACTGGTCTCTTCCCATTAAATCTATGGTCAAATCCTTACCACTATGGGCCATTGTAGTGTCCTATTTCTGTCAATATTGGCAGTTTTCTACTATGATGGCATACACACCTACATATTTCAGCTCTGTACTTCAAGCCAATGTCAAAGATGTAAGTATAGAGAAAGCTTATTCTGCTTTTCTGTTTAAATGCTTCATTATATAATCTGTCTCTCCCATGGTCATAAAATCAGGGAATTAGTCCCCAGAACTCAAATAAGAAATGCAAGCTGAGATGAGTGCTGGTGGCTCATGCTTGTAGTCCTAACTACACGGGATGCTGAGATCTGAGGACAGTGGTTTGAGGCCAGCCTGGGTAGGAAAGCCCATGAGAGTCTTATCTCCAGCAAAAATTCAGAAGTGGGGCTGTGACTCAAGTAGTAGAGCACCAGGTTTGAGTGAAAAAAAAACTAAGGAATAATGCCCAGGTCCTGAGTTCAAGCCCCAGTACTGACATAAAAACAAAAAAAGAAAGGAAGGAAGGAATGAGGAAGCAGGGAAGGAATGAGGAAGGAAGGAAGGAAGGAAGGAAAGGCAGGAAGGAAGGAAGGAAGAAAGAAAGAAAGAAAGAGAAAGAAGGAAGGAAAGAAAGAAAGAAAAGAAGGAAGGAAGGAAGGAAGGAAGGAAGGAAAGAAGGAAGGAAAGAAGGAAGGGAAGGAAGGAAGGAAAGAAGAAAGTAAGAAAGAAAGAAAGAAAGAAAGAAAGAAAGAAAGAAAGAAAGAGAAAGTAAGTGCCAGCTGGCTAACTTGGATTCTGTTGAGTTCAATGTGGTTGACTGCTTATTGGACCAAGATGCATAGCTCTTGGTAAGATATTCACATAATGTCCTATTTTATGGCAAAAAATTTTATACTCAATCCAATCAATATTTGCAAACAATACTCCTCTGACAATGTAAAGAACAAAGAACTAACAAAGTAAATTCTGCCTTGGGAGAAAACTGTGATAGAGATGCATAAACAACATATGCTGGAAAGATATTAGTAAGATAGGAAGTTCTGAGTAGAAATTATACAAAAATCCATGGATCTTTTAAAAAAAACTTGTTCAAGTATACAATATAGAAAAAAATACACACAGGTGTACAGTTCTCTGGATTATCACAAAATGGTCAGATGACTAATTGACTGCCAGGAGTCTTCAGTGGCTGTTAGATGGGTATCTTAAAAAACCATGCAGCAGCTGGGCACCAGTGGCTCGTGCTTGTAATCCTAGTTAACTCAGAAGACTGAGATCTGAGGATGAAAGTTCAAAGCCAACCCAGGCAGGAAAGTCTGAAAGACTCTTATCTCCAATTAACCACCTAAGAGCCAGAAGAACAGCTATAGCTCAAATGGTAGAACATTAGCTTTAAGCAAAAAGGCCCAGAAACAGTGCCCAGGCCCTGTGTTCAAGCCCCAGGACCAGAAAACATACAGAAAATGATGCACTATGTTAGATACCTGCTAGTGAAAGGCCATTACATTGCTATTATAAGCTAAGCCTAAATACTTAGAGAGCAGTCAGCTCAGACTGAGGGCACTTTGGGTAAAATGTACTAAATGACCAATAGAGAGCTGACTTTCTTCACAGTGGTAAGAGTGTGGGGAATAGGTGTGCAAGCAGACTGAAGGCAAGGAGATCAGAAAGTTCAAAGAGGGACTTGCTCTGAATTCTCTTGAGCAGGAGAGGTTTGAAAGCAGGCAAAGAAAGAGGAACCAAGGGACAGAAAGGCCGGGCAAAAGGATGCCTTTGCTGGGTGATTGACACCCTAAGTCTGTCTATGAGGCTGGGTAAGGAGATGAGAGCTGAAGAGAAGAGTGGGGGATAATAAATGGAAAGACAAGTATGACCAGATAGCAGAACTTATCAGGCTAGGAAACCTAGACTCCTACTCATTAAGTCACATTAAAAACTTGATAGCCTTGGTTTTACTCATCCATAAAAGGAACCACTTGAACCAGAAAGGGCTAACTTCTTTTCATTCCAGGAAGGATATCTACAACAAAAGACGATCTCTTGTGAATTTTCTTGAATAGAATTTTAACTTAGAGGTCGAATGATCACAAGAATTACAAAGCACTTTTAAGGAACTATGTAAAATTTGACTTTATAAACTATATAAAGAAGGAAAATTCTGGGGCTGGGAAGGTGGCTCAGGGGTACAGTGCTTGCTTTGCATACATGAAGCCCTGGGTTCACAATTCCTCAGCACCACATACGCAGAAAAAGCCAGAAGTAGTGCTGTGGCTCAAGTGGTAGAGCACTAGCCTTGAGCTGAAGAGCTGAGGGACAACGCCCAGACCCAGAGTTCAGGCCCTACAACTGACAAAAAAATAAAAATAAAATAAATAAAGGAAAATTCTTATTCTCCATTCCCTGTTTTCTTGTGTGGTTTTTGTTGTTGTTGTGGATGCTTTTGGTTTTGTTTTTTGTTTTTGTGTGTGCCAGTACTAGTGCTTAAATGCAGGGCCTGAACACTGTCCTTTGGCATTTTCTGCTGCAAGCTGATACTTTACCACTTGAGCCACTGCTCTTCTTACAGATTTTTGGTGGCTTACTGAAGATAAGAGTGTCATGGATTTTTCTGCCCTGGCTGGCTTCAAGTAGTGATCCTCAGATTTCAGCCTCCTGAATAGGTAGAATTAATTACAGGCATGAGCCACCAATGCCAGGAAAAAAGTTCTTTTTAAATTTCTTATACATTTTCTTATTGTTTCTCAATGAGAATGCAAGCATACTCTAATGATATTTTTATTTTACCAACTTTTTTGCACAAAATATAATAGGCTGTATATGCAGCTATATTATTTATTTATTTACCTCTTATTAAGTCTTGAGAATCAGTTTGTGTCAGTACTTGAAAAACTTGTGGGACACTATTTGTTTCCTTTTTTCTGCTTTATTTTTGTTTTTGTTTTTTGTTTTTGTTTTTTTGTCAGTTGTGGGGCTTGAACTCAGGACCTGTGTGCTGTCCTTGAGTCTCTTTGTACTCAAGGCTAGCACTCTACCACTTGAGCCATAGCACTACTTCTGGTTTTTGAATGGTTAATTGGAGATAAGAGTCTCACAGGGGATTTTCTGCCAAGGCTGGCTTTGAACACGAACCTCAGATTTCAGCTCCCTGAGCAGCTAGGATTACAGGTGTGAACTACCAGCACCGGGCCAGTATTTGTTTCCTTCTTTAACCTTTGAGCAAAGCTGCAGTAGAAACTTCATTCCTTTGTTATATGCTTTCACATCAGCTTCTGTGGAGTAAATAGCTGCATATGAAATTGCTGAGTCAATGGGTAAATATCCCATAAATGTTCATATTTATTGTTAAATTGCTCTCCATAAGGAACCGATAATATTTATGAGTACCATTTGCCCTAAAGGGGAGTTGTGCCAGTTTGATCCATGAAAATACTATGTTACTATTTGTTTTATTATGGGTGGGTTGGGTCACTTTAAACATATTCAGGGACCACTAACATTGTATATAAATTACATTTACATTCTTTATTTTTCTATTGGGTTATGGTCTTTTAATATCTCTTTCTATATGAAAAAGAGTATTCATTTTGTTGTTTTTCTTTAGTTACTTTTCAAGTAGGATCTTGTGTTTTTTGCCCCAGCTAGCCTCAGACTCTGTACATTCTACTTATGGCCTTACATTTCTGTGAAGCCGGGATAAGAAATCAGGGCTAGCACACATGGCATATTGATTTATATGGGATTTCTATTTCCTGAACAGCTCAGTTTATGGGTATGTATAAACATACCGTATAAACATGTATAAACATGCCAGGCTTTAAAAAATTATTTTCCAGAAGTAGCAACAACTAAAGAGCTATATACATATTTCCCACCAGGCACTAAAATTACCCAATTCATTCTAGTAACATGGAATTTATATGAAAGGTGATGCATGTCATGTCTAAAGAAAACCCATAAATATGGGCACTTTATCCAAGGATCAGTCTCTGTCCTAGAGGGCTCCATACATTCACTTTTTCTCGAATTCTCAGAGTGGGATCCTGTCAGCTCTGCCATTTATTATTGGCTGTGTCTGCGTTATCCTTGGAGGTCTATTGGCAGATTTTCTTTCATCTAGAAAATTCCTCAGACTTGTCACCGTCAGGAAACTCTTCACTACTATAGGTAAATGTTTAAGATGAATTCAAGGGTGGGTGTGGGGAGCTCAAGGAGCCTCCTACTTACTGCTTTTGTCCTTCTGCCCCAGGGGTTCTCTCCTCTGCTGTGGTCCTCTTGATTCTGCCTTGGGTCAAATCCAGCTTCAGTGCCACCGTGGTCCTCTTGGTATTGTCTTCTGCCTTCAGCAGCCTCTGTGATTCAGGAGCCCTTGTTAACTTCCTGGACATTGCTCCTCGGTAGGGATCCTTTTATCTCTTCCTTATATTAGCTCAGTTTAGGTCCAGCGGCCCTAAAACTGCTTCACAACAAGAATAAAAGGTGGCTTGTATGACAAGTCACATCAGTCCTACATCCAAATAATTCCTGGAAATTACTCTGAGCTGGTCAATCATTGTGAACTTCCTGTCTCCAGAGGCAAACAAGAGTACTCTGTCACCATGCTGACAGCTCAGTAGGGAGACACACAGCCCTCTCTTTTCACAAATATAATAGTTACCCAAAGTGGATTATGCCTGTGTAAGACATACCTCTACTATGGGTTAATAGCAGAGATAATTGAGACTTTCACATACACCTTCCTAAAGCTTGTCACAGCCCACAGGACATACTTCATCTTCAGACAATGAACTATCAAGATATGAGGAAGATACTTTGATATTAGGGAGACACCATCTCATCCAATGAAGGGTGTTTTATATAGAAAAAAAGACTTTAAAACAGAGCTATAGGATCAAGGTCATGATCAGGAACAAAGAAACCATATAAACGAAGTGCAAACCACTAATCTTTACTTGTATAAACCATGTTGACTAGTTAGTACAGGCCACCCCCTTGGAAGGCTCAAGCTCTAGCACAGGATTATACAAATCAGTAGTACACTTCACTCAGGCTTAATAAGAGTGAACACAATTCCAAGCAGCCCCAGAGATAAGTACAAATTTATAACCAACAGATCAACCCCTTTGTTTACATGGGACTATTTCCTCTCTGCTTCTTCCTCAGGTATGGTGGCTTTCTCAGAGGACTGATGCAAACCTTTGCTTATATATCTGGAGCCATCTCTCCTACTGCTACTGGATTTTTCATTAGTCAGGTGAGGATACATGTTCTGATGAATATTTACAAGAGAAGCTAATGCATAAGTGTAATAGGTTCTTGTTCTCTGGCAGAACAGAAATAAAACCAGGCGCAGAAAGTGCAGTTATATAAAGTTAACAAAGAATTTAACAAAGAGAAGTTAAGGCCACTCAGAAGAGTGAGCAGAGAGCCTAGAAACCGGTTGTCTGCCATGTGATCAGAGACTGACTATTTTGTATTGTCTTTTTCTACCTTTCCTCCTTTCTTTAGGAAATTTGTCAGATTGTGATTGGTTTGTTTATAACAGGCAAGACCATCCCCAAGCAGTAGCCACAGGATGATGGGTTATAGGAGGGCTGGTCTGTGTTATAGAAAGACTCAAGGGTCGTAGCCATCAGTTGGCAGGAGAGAGAGCTGGCCTTAACTGGTTGGCTGATAATTTCCTTTAAACCCTATACAGAGTAGCAGTAAATATCAGCCTAAGAGTATTTTTGTTCCTTTCTCAAAACTCATGAGTCTTGAACACTCAACATTCCTTCATTTCAAGATCAGCTTGTGCAGACAAATTACCACAAGCTTGGTGAGGAGTAAAGGAGAAAATTAATATGAATTTATGTTATTAAAAAACCCAGACACACTTCCTAGTAATATTCATGACATTTGTTCTATAATATAGAGTGTCCTGCTATCTTGGCTTGCATGTGACAGAGATTTTTCAACATGTAAGATTTTCATTGTTGAAACGTCAAAAATCAGGTATGATGGTACATGCCTATCATCCCTGCACTCAGGAAGTGGAGACAAGAGGATTACAAGTTTGGGGCCACCTGAGCTTCATAGTAAGGCCCAATTTTAAAGAAAATTAAATTAAAAATTTAAAAACCCTGAGGATTAGGAATGTAGCTTTGTAGAAGAGCAATTGTCTGTACAAGGCTCTATGTTTAATACCAGGCAAAACGAAACAACACAAACCTTGAAAGTGCCAGGGAAATCATGATGAGTTGGTCACTCTACATAGAAATCCAACAAGTATTTACAGAATGAACCAGCAAGATGCTGAGTGAATAGCAGAGTGAAGGATTTCTTTTGAATGATCATACAGGAACTCATCTGACCAATGTTGCTGGCATAGTGGTTTTATATCTGTGTAGCCTTCCATCCAGGAAGATGCCTATAAAATAGCCAAAATAAGCTGAATGTGATGCTGTAGGCCTTTATCCAAATTCTTGAATGAACTAAGGAAGGTGGATTTTAAATTTGAGGCTGTGGCTAGTCTGGATTATGTGTTGAGACCCTGTCTCAAAAATAAATAGCTGGGCGCTGATGACTCACACCTGTAATCCTAGCTACTCAGGAGGCTGAGATCTAAGGATTGTGGTTCAAAGCCAGCTGGGACAGGAATGTCTGTGAGACTCTTATCTCCATTTAACCACCAGAAAAGCAGAAGTGGTGCTGTGGCTTAAGTGGTAGAGTGCTTGCCTTGAGCTGAAGAGCTCAGGGACAGTGTCCAGGCCCAGAGTTCAAGACATGGACTGACAAAAACAAAAACAAAAAACAAACCCAAAAAAGTTAATTAATTGATAATCATCAAATAAAGATAAACTTAACAACTTGAGGATTGCCTAAGAGTTTTATTGATATAAACTTCATATGAAGAAAAACACTGATGACATATATTAATATCTTCTTTAACTTTCCTGTGGTTTTCCACCAAGAAATTGAGAATAAGAAAATAAGGCTGTTTTCTAAAAATAAAATCAAGTTGTGTGTGTGTGTGTGTGTGTGTGTGTGTGTATGTGCAGCACGCATGTGTGTGCTTGAACTCGGGGGCCTGGGCACTCTCCCTTAGCTTTTTTTGCTCAAGGATGGCACTCTACCACAGCTCCATTTCTGGTATTTTGGTGATAAACTGCCGATAAGGATCTCATAGACTTTCCATCCAAGGCTGGCTTTGAAACACAATCCTCAGATTTCTGCCTCCTTATGTATGTAGGACTAGAGGTATTAGCCACTAGTATCCTACACTCTTCTTGTTTTTGAAGCTTCAATTCCCTTCTAGCCACTGACTAACACAGTAAGAAAATAGCCACTTAAAGTGAAAATACTCTAACCTTGTTTTTCCTGCCACATAATTAATAAACTCATTCATTTAAAAAGTATTGCATTCATACTTACTGAATTCAATAAATATTCAATATGTATTGAATATTAACAAGTGACATGCATTGTTTCGGCAAATAAAAATTCCTCTCCTTGTAATATTAGGAAATATTATAGGAAAGAAATTGGCAGAAAACTAACATAAAATTCATGATATATTGATATATTGAAGTCAATAGGGCACATTAAAGGGAGCAGAATTTTAATTTAATCAGGTTGACACAAGGGAGTCCCAGAAAAGGTAACATTTAAGCAAGAAGTGAGCCAGTGAGCAAATGGTGCCCCACGTGAGGAGAATCCAGCAGAGCTCACTGCCAGTACACTGGCCTTATGATAGAAATGAATCTGCCTATTCTAGAAAGGGATTGAATTGGAGGTAGGAACAGCAGGACATGGAATTATACAAAGCCAGGGGGGAAAAGGACTGGGTGTTTCTACTAACTGGTAGTTTTCTTCCTCCAGGATTCAGAGTGGGGTTGGAGGAATGTCTTCATAGTTGCGACTGCTGTTAATATATCAGGCCTGATCTTCTACCTCATCTTTGGCCAAGCAGAAGTACAACATTGGGCTAAAGAGCAGACAGGCACCTACTTCTGAGAAAACAGAATGAGATGTGAAATCTGATGCTTATTTCATTGCTTTCCCTCACACACTTTCCTCATGTGTACCTGTTTGAGTGATTAGCCATTTAATTGAAATTGGCTTTGTTTCAAGTATCTTCTCAAAGACCTTGGTTATGTAATATTGATGGGGAAGCTTAGTTGTTTAAGTGAGCTAGCTCCTGACTACACATTTATTGGAATTTTCTTCTCATCCTCCATTTTTCCCTCTGTTATCCTGGTAAAAGCATCAAAGACTGAGGAACAATTTTTCACCAGAGCAAGAGGAAACTAGAAACACAAAAGTGAGGGCCAACAGTCACAAGTGGAGTAGTATCCTTCTGCAAACAACATGGAGATGAAGCCTGAGAGCTATTATATTAAAAAATAGTCTAACCATGGAAAAGCATAGTATTGATGTCTGAAGTCCCAGGGGCCAGAGCAAGTGAAATCGTTGTCAGGTCAAATGAGAACCATTAAAGGGCTATTCTGAAGTTTGGGGTAAGCAGTGTACTTAACTTAAAATATGACAAGAAGAAAAAAAACAATAAAGAACGAACTCATCATCACAACAGGAATGAAAGTTCCTCCAGAGAATGCAAGTGGAGAGTAGACTTCAACTATTATAGACAACTTGCTAGTTATTTTTAATGGATGCTGGCTTTTAGTCTATAACATCTGCACCACTCAGCCATTCTTTGGAGTCAGGTCTTCCACAATTACCTTCATCTTGACCTCATCCCTACATCTGGTTTGTGAAGCCACGAAGATCTCTTATATTTCTTAGTGAGTGGACATTGCCCTGTGCCTTTTTTTAATCCTTTCAAGACATTTACTCATGTTGTCAGTCCTATCTCCAGTGCCCTTTGATTCTCTGATTATTGGGAACCCCCTAACCATTTAGTGGGTCTCATTCATTTTTCACTTTATTATCCAAAAATACTTGTAAGATCCATACTGGCTCAACCTCATTCCAAATCTCCCTTGTATATCTGCAGATATATATGGTATATCTTGGTTTCATGATGCCTTCATATGGTCAGCACAAAGATCATGAAAGAGAACAAAATTATTCAAGCACTAAATACATACTAATAAACACATTAAGGTTTATGGAAGCATGGCAGACATCAAAATCATACACAGCTTGAAGGAGTTCACTATCACAGGAGGGCAATAACTGCAATCAAAGTATCACACAAATTAATATATAATGACAGTTATGGAAAAGGAAAAAATAAAGGGAATATCACACAAGAAGAGTGAATGATACCTGGACACCAGTACCTTATTCTTATAATCCTAACTACTTGAGTCTGAGAACTGGTGGCTGATAATTTGAACTCAGCAAGAAATTCCATCTCCAAAAATAATAAATATAAAGCAGGACTGAAGGCATGGCTCAAGTGGCAGACACCAGCTAAGCAAGCAAGCTGATTGAGCATGAGGCCTTGAGTTCAAACCCTGATACCACTAAAACAAAAGCAGTGAATGATAAATGCATAACCACTAATTTGAATGTGAAGGAGAGTGCCCTACAAAGTTTCAATTGAGCCAAGGTCTGAAGGCACACAGCAAAGACTTGGTGTCGATAAAGAATAATTAGTCTGCCCAGAAAGTAAGTTGTGAGCAGACTGTAGACGTATTGAGGTCAAGAACACATGAAACACTGTGGACCTAGCATAATCTTTCTATGGAATTCAGCAGTATTGTGGTGAGAAAGGATATAATCAGGGATGCATTTTTCAAAGGCTATGCTGCATGAGGGAATGTTGAATAAAGTTCCCAGTGTAGTGCAGTGATGGCTTCTGGCATGAGGAAATGGATCTGGTTACAAAAAAAATACTAAACAGACTATTTGCTTCAAAAGACAAGCCTGATATGACTTCCATACTACGTGAAAGATGTCCAGAGCAATGGCTGCAGTTTGGCATGACACTTGATTGACAAGGGTGCCACTCACAAAGATGGCAGTCATACCAAAGTTCATAAGAAGGAAAATGGACCCAGATCGGATTGCACATGTGCGATTTGACCTCCAGATATCAGGAGCCATTTATACATCATTTGGCAACATCTTAGACAAAAGAATAATATTGGGTACATAGTAAGTGCCAATAAATGTTTGTTGAATCAATATGTAAATCTATGAGTGGAAAAGCTCTGGAATCAGGAAAAAATGAATGGGAAGAAGAATACCATATTTTCACCTAAATTTTCTTTTTGCTCCTGAAATTTTCTTTATATAAATTATATAAGACAAAGCATATAAAACAAAGTATATACTTTGTTTTGGGGACAGAATCAACTGAAATGATGATTCATCTGCTTAATTGAAACTAAAATACCAAGAAACTGATTTGTTCCATTTTATTTCTCCTGTTTAGCTCTATAGCCAAACCTAGGACTTATCATTGACAAGCCATTACCCATTAGGGTATAACATTTCTTGCTTCTTTTTAAACTAACCAAATCTGCATTTAATCATCAACTTTCCTTACCTTAACCTTTTAATATTTTCCTAGTGGGTCACCTTTAGTTGCTTCTGAAAACAAACTGGTTTCTTCCTGCAGCCACCAGAAAGGAAGCCAATTTTGTACCTTTTTCTCCAAAAATAAGTAACCCTGAAAGTATAGGAACCATCTGAGATTTTCCACTGGCTTACACTTTTACAATGGTGGGGGGGGGTGCGTGGAGGAGAGGAAGAGTAACAATTGAAAATTGAGAACAAAGGCCTTTCACAAGTTTTTATAAAATTTCACGTGTGTTTATTGGGGCATTTAACAATCATTTAAAAGACCGCTAATACAGAGAGGAAAAAAGATAAATAAACACTCCTTAAAAAATTCAGACACGTAACTTGTTACAAACAATACCTGTAACAAAAGAGAAGTACATAGGGTGTGAAGGAGAGACTGGATCCTTTGGGCTCCTGGGGGAGGAAGAGGGGTGGGCTGGAGGCTTCTTCCTGAAGCTTCATTCTCATATGGGACTCACTCTTTCAATCTCTAAGAAGGCTGGTCTCAGGCTCATCATGTGCTTAGCTTTACCCTATATTTTGGAGACAAAGTTCAGAGGTAAATATGTTTTGGTGGCCATAGCAATCTCATCCCTGTTTTATTATAACATTAACTTTGTCTTTGCTCTGAAGGGTTTAATGTCCGAAATGTAAATTGGCTTTCAACATTATAAATAGCATATTAATGAATCATAGAGGAGAAAAATATACAATCTCAATAGAGTCTCTACAGGGGTTAAAAATTTACCACTCTAGTACATAGGCTATTTGAGTTAAAAGCACTTGAAAAGTGACAGGAGCAAAAAGATCATTCTGAGCTTGCTGTTTCTTAAAGCAGAAGATGAAATTCCAATGTGAAAATGGTCTTCAACCTTTATCACCAGTGAAGAGAAAAGTAAGCCTAAAAGAGTTCTGTCTAGCCTAACCTGGTTAAAAGAGCTCCTATCTTCCTAGCTACCATAACCCAAACCCTTTGTCTTGTTACATTTTCAGTTTATTATTCTGTTCATTCAGAATACACGTGACTGACTCTAAATGCCTCTAGGGAGTCTTCATTTACTTATAAGGGATCTCATGCCACTGAAAAGTTATGTTGTATTTCTTTTTCCTGTTAGACAACTGTAGGACCATAATAAGATGAAAGCTGAGTTTTTCCACTGGACCACCACAAATACTTCGACAAAACTCAATTATCATGCTTAGTTTTTTTCAAACTTAATAGTAACAGGCAACTCATTAACATGATGACTGATAAATTAGCAATTTATTAAGAGTAAAATAGAAGACTATGTAATTAAAACCATAAGGAGTAAGGGATCCAGGGGTTGGTAGCTCACATTGTTATCCTAGTTATTCAGAAGGCTGAGATTTGAGGGCTACAGTTCCAAGCTATAATTGTCAGAAAAGTCCAAGAGACTCTTTATTTAACTAGTGAAAAGCTAGAAAAAGAGGTATGGTTCAAGTAGTAGAGTGATAGCTGTGAGTGCAAAGCCCATGTGAGAGGGAAGCCTTGGTAACTGACAGAAAGGAGGAAGTGAGAGAGGTAAGGGAGGAAGAGAAGAGGAAAGAAGGAGGAAAGGAAAGAAAGGAAGGAAGGAAGGGAGGAAAGAAGGAAGGGAGGGAGGAGGGAGGAAGGAAGGGAGGAAGGAAGACAGGAAGGAAGGAAGGAAAGAAGGAAGGAAGGAAGAAAGGGAGGGGGAAGGAAGGAAGGAAGGGAGGAAAGAAGGAAGGAAGGAAGGAAGGGAGGAAAGAAGGAAGGGAGGGAGGAAGGAAGGAAGGAAGAAAGGGAGGAAGGAAGGAAGGAAGGAAGGGAGGGAGGGAGGAAAGAAGGAAGGAAGGAAGGGAGGAAAGAAGGAAGGGAGGGAGGAAGGAAGGAAGGAAGGAAGAAAGGGAGGAAGGAAGGAAGGAAGAAAGGGAGGAAGGAAGGAAGGAAGGAAGAAAGGGAGGAAGGAAGGAAGGAAGGAAGGGAGGGAGGAATGAAGGAAGGAAGGAAGGAAGGAAGGAAGAAAGGGAGGAAGGGAGGGAGGGAGGGAGGAAAGAAGGAAGGAAGGAAGGGAGGAAGGAAGGAAGGGAGGGAGGACGGAAGGAAGGAAGGAAGGAAGGGAGGAAGGAAGGGAGGGAGGGAGGGAGGAAGGAAGAAAAACATGTGCTAGTGCACATACAACTTCATGTGGTCATATCAATATAAGAAAATGAAGCAAAAAATAAAAAATTCCTAAAATGGGAAAAGTCAATATGTTTACAGCATCTAAACAAGTTTGCAATTATATTATACTTGTCAAAATCTTTCTTTTCTTTTTTTTTTGTCAGTCATGGGGCTTGAACTCTGGACCTGGGCACTGTCCCTCAGCTCTTCAGCTAAAGGCGAGAGTTCTTGAGCCACAGAGCCACTTCCTCAAAACCTTTCTAAAATTGTAACATTAGGATAATAAAAATAATTGCTTATGCAGACAAAAAGGAAGTGAATAGAAACAATTATGAAAAACATTTAGCATTAACTTTCAATATTTAATAGGTCAAATTCTGTATATTAAAATAAGAATAGAATATGTATTGCATAGCTGAGCCCAGTTCTATACCTTCAGGGCTACAAATTTCTGGGGTTCCTAGATGCCCTGCTTCAAGCCTTCCTCTCTGGTGGAAGGTTCTGGAGTTGCCCTGTTTCTATTTTCATTCCAAAGAAATTTATCAACTTCACAAATCTGGTAAGCAGCTGTGAATTCATCATATTTCCCAATGCTGTTATATGACCATTCATCTAAGTAATTTTTGCAATAAAATATTCAGATAAGAGTCTATATATTTAAACCTGCTGGTTATAGTTTAGTCACTTTAAAAGCAGTAGTTGTGACTAGAGGTTCAATCAGATTCTGCTTGATTTTCCTGGCAAGGCATTAATGATTATGTATTCCTCCATCAGAAGGTATGAAGTATCTTTGTGCCTCTCTTTTGTGATATTAGAAACCATTGATATCCAACACTAGGGTTCCTTAATTTGGTGAAGATTCTAAAATAGAGCTATTTCACATCTATTCATTCTTAGTTTTATATTAGATGAAACAAAATAGAAATAAAATGTAAAGTATCAATGTAAGCATCATTCTTATTATTTCTTATAACTGATAAAATTCAAATTGTAAAGGCACAATATCAGATTCTCTTTGAGCACAGTTAAGCAGGCTGGTGTCTTCATCATTCATTTGCAATTCATTTTAGGGTCACTTTTATGGTATCTCATACCTTAACTCAGTAGCATATTTTTCAGTTCTTTTATTGTTTAACCTCTAGATAGTACCTGGCAGAGGTATCTACCCCTATTTTTTTACTTCTCCTCAAGACATCATATTTACTGTTATTCTACTTTATTTTGAAGGCCCTTTCTAGTCTCCCTTACAAATTTTTCTTTAATGTGTTAATAATGTTGGACAGACCTACACTCCCAAATCTACATTCCCAACCTGTGTCTCCCCAGAATTCCAGAATCTTATATCCTCTAGGGGGTGCCATTTCCACAAAGATGCCTAGTAGCTTCAGATTTAACATAGTCTCTTCTCCCCCAAATCCCCACCCCTTATAGTTCCCCATTTCAGGACTGTATTCACATTCTCGAGTTCCATCTCTCCTGCATTTCCAGTTTCAAAAACTCTCCTTAATCTGAGCCCTTCTCACCTTTAGAGTCTAGTATTTTGCTTTTCTGTAGCCCACTCTTGAATTTCTGCTTTAGCAAATATAAGGTAGAAAATTATGCTTGTCACATTAATGCCTGCCATCAGGAAGAAGATTTTATGCCAAGAAAATTCTGGATCCTAAGGGATTGAAAATACAAAGTAATTATAAATTACAGATTCTATTTTTGTGCTTTGTAACATTTAAAGTATAGTATTATACACACACACACACACACACACACACACACATATATAATAAAGTTTTCATTATAGAGGTCTTCACATCTTTGGTTAAGTGAATTCCTAGGTGGTTTTTTTTTTCCTGAGGCTATTACAAATGGAGTTGCTTTCTGATTTCAGCATCACACTTCTCATTGTTGGCATACAGAAGCTTTTGATTTTTGTTGGTTCATTTTATATCATGCTACTTTGCCAAAGTTTTGCTCAACCACTCTGGAAAGCAGTATGGAGGTTCCTCAAAAGGCTAAACAGGCAGGGCACTGGTGGCTCATGCTACTCAGGAGGCTGAGATCTGAGATCTGAGGATCACGGTTCAAAGCCAGGTAGGGCAGGAAAGTCCGTGAAACTCTTATTTCCAATAAACCACCAGAAAACCGGAAGTGGCATTGTAGCTCAAGTGGTAGAGCACTCGCCTTGAGCTGAAGAGCTGAGGGACAGCGTCCAAACCCAGAGTTCAAGCCCTACCACCGACCAAAAAAAAAAAAAAAAAGCTAAACAGGAAGCTCCTCTATGACCCAGTAATTTCACTCCAGGGCATTTACCTGAATGACCACAAACAAGGCCACACTAAAGCTACCAGCACAACTATGTTCATTGCAGCATTATTTACTATAACAAAGATGTTGAATCAACCCAGATGCCCCTCAGTGGATGAATGGATTAAGAAAATGTGGTATGTTACACAATGGATTTCTATGCTTCTATCAGAAAGAATGACATCTCCCTATTTGTAAGGAAGTGGAAAATTTGAAAAAGATCATATTAAGTAAAGCCAGACCCAAAGAAACATAGGCTGCCTGGTTTCCCTTGTTTGTAATAATTAGCATATGTCTAGGATAGTTCTAGCAGAGGATAACAATAACTCAATAGCTCTGTGCATATGACCTTATGAAATGATGCTAATTGAAATGGGACTACAAGATATGGAAACAAGAGGATTTTTCCCCTTAGTGTAATGCATGCATTTATTTATTTTTTCTTTCTTTCCTCCCTCTTTGGTTTATCCTCTGTGGTCACTATTTTTTACTACAGTATACTTTGTATTGTATATAAGTTTATCTGATTTGGGGATGGGAAGGGAAATTACAGAAATGGCGAGACAAAATTCTAAATATGTCTCTCCTTTATCCATTTGTGTTGTCATGTATTTGTTATTTGTATCTTATTTCACTCAATGGGATATGAAGCTGAGTTTAATGTGAACATCAATAGCTGCATCTTTTTCTTATTTACATTCACAAAGGAATATAAATATTACTCTGATGTGTAATATTTGCTGCAGGAATTTTACAACTACTCTTATGGACTGTCAAGGGACAACTACTTATAGTGTCAAATTTAGTCTCATTTCTTAGATCTGGTTCCATCTTGCCTAATCTAGGTTCTGAACTCTTTTTGCCCCTTGTCCTTCTGAGGTTGTGAAAAGCTCTTTGGGACTTCTCAGCTGCCTATTCCAGAAAGAGAATTTTGTTAGGGAAAATTACCCACATGCCACAGTGATGTTGAAGGCTTCTTTCATTTAAGTCTGTTGCCTAAAAAATTCTTGCTACATTGCTATATCTTCCTACACTGATACCTTGCCTATAAATATAACACATTTTTGCATGTAGGTAATAAATCCAAACTTCTGTCTGTTCTTCATGGGTGGGTAAATTGAGCCACACCACTCTTTGTCAGTATCAATAGGTGAACTCTTACAGTGTATATAAAAATTCTTTTTCAGTGTATAATTTGATGAGTGATATGAAACATATGAGTGATATGATAGCATATTCTCATGGATTGGGGCTTTCTCTTTGGAAGTGGTCATTAGTACACCTGAAACACTTCAAGTTAAGTTTTGATATTTTCTGTCCACCTAAATGATTCAAAGCAAACTAATTAAATATTGGTTTATTTTTGTATTTATGTTCACCTTTTTTAAAAAGAAATTTTTGTGCCAGTACTGGGGCTTTGACTTAGGGCCTCAAGTTCTGGCTTAGATTTCTTGCCATACCTTATTAACAGTTGTTTCTATCCAATGACTAATGATCAAAGCATTACCAGCAATTGATTTATAATGAGAAAAATTATATAAACATTTGAAAGAGTGCCTAGTTTGATAAAATTTCTTTTCAAAGGATCCAGACTCATAACTTACCTACTGCTAGCATCTCCTATGCAATTTAACACACACACACACACACACACACACACACATTTAACTTTCTCTGTACAATTAATTGGAAAAATAACTATGCATATTTGCATGCCCCTTACCTGGTTAAGGATCAATCCAGTCACAGTAGAAGAAATGAGGGCACCTATCATTCCAATTACAGATGTAACTGCTTTAAGAAATCCATAATATCTGGGCCAAAACAAAAAATATATTAACATTGTTATGCTATTTTTCTTCTACCTTATTTTTTCCATCCAATTTTTTTTGGGGGGCTCTGGTCATGGGGCCTGAACTCTGGACCTGAGTGCTGTCCCTCAGCTCTTCAGCTCAAGGCTAGTGCTCTACCACTTGAGCCACAGCATCACTTCTGGCTTTTTTTCTTTTTGCTTATGTGGTCCTGAGGAATCGAACCCAGGGCCTCATTCATGCAAGGCAAGCACTCTACCACTGAGCCACCTTCCCAGCCCTCCATCCAATTTTTAAAAACTTAAAACACCTTTATAGTCTCTAAAATATTCAGGGTCCTAGGCATTGTGTGTTTTGTACAATAAGTACAGTTGTCCAGTTAGACCTATATTTCCAGAATCTTTTGTCACTAAATGTGGCTGCAGAACTAAATTTAGGCTGTTTTTGGACATGAGGAGAAATAATGTGTTTTTCTCCATCTCCTTCTTAAAGCTATTGCTTGTTATAGACTTCTTCCATCTTTCCAGGGCCTAAGAAATGATACCAATTAAACCAACCTTGAAGGCTACATGCTGAGAATAGGGAAACTTTGCCTACTCGGAGCCTTTGACTACTTATTTCTAGATTATTTGATAAGGGTATATAACCTATTTCATTTGATAGTTTTACTTTAAAGTCACTTCGTTGAAGCTTTGTTCATGAAACAATGCATTGACAAATTGTTTAAGGAAAAACATAGAGATTAAAAAATGCATTATTATTTAAGAAACATTGACAGTAAATGACCTGAGCACCCAATTCTAGAACTGATGTTTATATGGTCTTTTTGTGAAAGACAAGTTAAAATATTTATAAAGAATTTATGAAAGTTTTGTTTTCTAAATTCTTCATTTGGACTATTGCTTAGAAGAAACTCCATGTTTTATATGCTGGTTTTTAAAAAAAATTACCAATTGCTACTCAGTGACTTTTAACTTCCTTTTTGTATGTTTTTCTATGTACCACCATGCCTGGTTTGACTTTTCACTTTCTTAATGGAATATTTTAATAGATAGTTGGTAATTTTAACCATATAATATAATACAATATATTAAACATAACGATATATATTCAAGATAATATTATATTTAATTTTATGTACATCTAGGTATCTGTTTAGAAATAGTGCACTGAGTACAATTGTATAAACCTCTGGGGACAGCATCTGGGATGTTAAAGCAGGAGAGATGTAAGTTTAAGATCACCCTGGTCTACATAGACTTTGTCTCCAATGAAAAAATTTTTTTAACTTAGGAAAAAACAGAGGATGATATCTGAATGGTAGATTTCTTGTTTACCAACAGTTCAAATCTGTGTTCAATCTCTATTACCTTAAAAAATAAAAGGAAGAAATCATGGATTACCTCAAGTCACAGAACAGGTTTATGCTTACATTATTTTCAGACTTTTATTTTATAAAACAATCCAACTGAAAATGTTTCTCTCTTTTTGACAGGTAGTAGGAATAAAGATTCTTTTATTTTTCCATTATGGATAGTTTCCTGACTCAGCACCAAGTATTTGAATGGCCACCATTTCATTAAAGTTATTTAGTATCTATCAAAATTATTACACATTTTTTGTTTTTCCTGATAATGTCTGAATTCATTACTTTATTTACAAATGTTAAACAATGTTTTGCATTTCTATAATAGATGCTACTGGTATGTCATGTATAACTTTTTATATATTACCAGATTAAACATTAATATTTTCATTGGTACTTTAAAAATCAATTTATATGAAAGAGCTTAGTTTATTATTTTCCTTTCTTGTAACAACATTGTAAAGTTGTGCTATCAAAGGGCTAGCTGACTACCATGAATTGGTGGTCTCTTTATCCATAATTCGGGAAAACAGGCCAAGTACTTCCTGAGTAGCTAGGATTACTAGCATGAGCCATCAGTGTCTGGCAATACAATAATAATATAGTTATCATTTAAGGCAAAAGATAAATAACCCCCACTGCTTTCAGTTAATACTTGATGCAAAGACAAAAATCACAAATGAAATTCCCAGAATTGGAAAAAATAGCAGAATTTGCAGCTCTTTTCTCAAAGGTGGTGTCCATTAGTGGTCTGGGTCTTAGTGACCTTGACTGCTTTCTGCCTGTTTTTTTTTTTTTTTTTTGGCTTCATGCATGCTAGGCAAGCACTCTCCCATCTTCCCAGACTGCTTTCTGCTTTTTTATCTAGACTTTTCAGTTTTTCTATCTGAAATTAGGCAAAAATTTCCCCATCCCATTTGAAGTTTTCAACTTACTTTACAGTTGTTAAGACACTGTTAGATTTACAACTTAGAATATCATCTAGAAGACCAAAATCATTGTGCAATATCCTTTTGTTTCTAGAATGGTATCTTGAAACAAAGTCTACATTTTTCTTATAATCTTTCTATTGTATGTATTTGTTTTTATTCCAGTCTCATTTAATCTTTTTATATTTCACGTTTTTCTGATATATTTGACTTAAAATGATCTTTATTGTTCCTATGTAACTATTTATTTACTTTTTTTTGCAGGTCCTGGGGCTTCATCTCTGAGCCTGGTATTCTCCCTGAGCTATTGCTCAAGAATTGCTCTCTACCACTTGAATCTTAGCTTTACTTCAGGCCTTTTGTGGTTAAGATAAGAGTCTCATAGACATTCCTTCTTGGGTTGGCTTTGAACTGCAATCCTCAGATCTTAGCCTCCTCACTAGCTATGATTACAGGTATGAGCCACTGGTGTAACATCATTTACTTCTAGTTCACTGTTATTTTAATTGCTTCTCTTCTACACAGTTACTATCCTTCAGTTGATTCCTTCTCTCTCTCTTCCTCTCTCTCTCTTTCTTTCTCTGTCTCCACACACACACTTATATACATACTGATGCCTAATCTAAATGAATAATTTGACATATAGCCATTAGTGCGATATCTTGTATTCACTTAAATTACTTATACTCTACCAACTATTTTGTACTGTTTGCTTGTACTATTGTATTTATAGTGTATATTATATGTACTTTATACTTTGTAAGTACCACTATTTTGTTTTGTGCATTTAGTAATTATTAGTTTTTTCCTAGTATTTTCTTCTCCATTTCTTTTCATTTGTGTCTTTGCTTCACTTTACTTCTGCCTAAAGAATTTCCCTGTCGTAATTCTTTGGTTGGAGGCTTGTAGATGAAAGCTCTTAGTTTGACTTTAAATTCTCTTGTTTTATCCTAATTCTTGAAGGATTAATTCTTTGCTGGATTTAGACTTGTAGCTAATAGGGATTTTCTTTTGCTTTTAGAAATGCCAGTGAATGGTTTCTGGCTTTCATTGTTCTGCTGTGAAGGCAGCTGTCATTCCTATCATTTTTGTTTGGAAGAAGTGTATGTTTTCTATGTCCATGTGATTTTAGATCTCTATTTTCTCCACATACCAGTCTCTAGTAATTTTATTCTGATGAATTAATATATTATTTGAATTAAGATATTATTTTCTTTGTAGTTCTCCTATTATTAAAATTACTGATGCCATTTTAGTGGCTGTGCTTCCTTCACAGATTCAGAGACATTTAGAGTGCTGCCACTCTGGACAGAGATTTCACTGCTTTTTCCATGAATAGTATTTGCATTCTGTGGTCAAAGATATAAACAATCCTCAGTGTCAAAAATTTTGAGTGCTGTAATTACTCTGAAAATCATTATACATAGACAAGATAGAGCACTTGTTCAATTATTAGAGTAGAAATTGAGAGCTTTGTAAGCCCTATACCTAACACCTTTCATGTCCCTAATAAGTGGCTATTAGATACGGAAAACATAAGACAGTTTTCTGGACAATACTCTTAATCTTTAGCTGCAGCAGTTCATGATAAAAAGCATTTTGTAAATGTGGAGATCCCTTGCAGTGGTGTTACGATTTTATTAATTTTTATACTTAGGTATGGTATGATTGAATAAAATATGAACAAACTCTATCTGAGCTATGGTCTGTCAAATGTGGTAGGGATAGGGGAATTCAAGGATGTGTAATCCATTGACCAGTCAAAAAAACTAAAATTAATTAAAATATTTGTAGCAGCCTTCCTCCAACAAGAAAATGACAGAGACTTTTTGATCCATCACAGAACATCTTAAGAATCCATTGTTTAATTCCACTATTGATATTACCCAAAGAGATGGCAAAAATTACAAGTGGAACCATCATATGATCACATACTCTCACTTTTAGATGTATTCAGAAGCAATGAAATCAGTATGGCAGAGGGATATCTGCACTTAGATGTTCATTGCAGCATTAATCAAAATGGACATAATAGAAAACATTTCAAATATCATTGATAAATAGATAAAGTAAATGTGGTGCATATACAAAATGACATAGTATTCAACCTTTAAAAGGAAAGAAATCCTGTCATTTGGAGCAGGACATTATTCAAATGAAATAATTCAGGCACAGAAAAATTCCACATAATCTCACATACAGTTGAACTCCCCAAAGCTGAGAGTAGAATGCTGGTTACTACAGTCTAGGCATAGATGAGAGGTGTTGTTTAGGGAGATGTTCATTAAGTGACATGAAATTTAGGTTAGATAGGAGGAGTAAGTTCAAGCGATCTATTGTACAACACTGGTTAATAGCAAGGTATAGTATTCTTAAAAACTGTCAATATGGTAGATCTTGATTTCTCTCACCAAAAAAATGGTAAGTATATGCAGGAAAGAATATGCTAATTAGCTTCATTTAATCATTCCACAATGCATCCATACTATACATAATAAATGCACACAATTTATTTGTAATGAAAAATAAATTTCAGGGAAACCTACCTTGGAGCAATATCCAAAGCATTTATAAGTGGTCCAGCTAAGCAAAAGCTGGTTGTGGCATTAGCCAGTGTCAGGAAAATGATAGTGCTATAAAAGTTGAAACTCAGGTAAAGCAGGCACATACTGAAGATCACAGGAGAAAGAATTCCTGGGAAATGAGTTTGACAACAATATTAGGCTCATCCTAAATATGGGGATGAAGTATCCTCTAAGTATTTGAATATCCTAGCTGTTTCTTACCTAGTATGGTGAAGAGTTTCCGGATGGTAAGTAAGTTGAAAATATTCCTGTATAGGAAGTAGTCTGACATATGACCTGCTAGGAGACCACAGATGCAGGCAAACAAATAAGGGAGGCCAGACAGCAGCCCATTCTGAGGAGGAAATGTTATTTGGAAAATGGGGATGATGGGTAAAGCAGTATCACACACAATAATCTTTTCACCGAGTTCAGTATCTACAATGTGTACTTTCTAAAATTATTGGCATACACCATCAGATTTCCTGCTGGGGTCTCATGACCCTATGTAAAAAGAAAAATAGTTTTGAGGTGAGTTACATTTGTCACAATCTATCTAATATTTTACTTTTACATTCACGAGACCTGAAAACTTTGGGAAATCAGGAATAGTACATTAGGAACAAGAAGTGCTAACCCCGGGGAAAATTGCACAGATAATAATGGTGACCGTCGCTTGCTCTAAATCAGCCATTGTAAATCCTTATAACAACTACTTGGTTTCACAGAAGATAAAATGGAGACAGTGAAAATTTACAGGACCTCAGTTCTATACTAGTTCCTAGCCTGTGGTACTGGTTCATTACACAGAGGGTCAAAGTGGCAAGCCCAGATTCCATTTCTAAGGAAAATTTTCCCTGGCTATTTTAGAATCAAACAACAGGAAGTTTAAAGAATCGGTGACTCTCTATGTCAGAGAAGCAGTCAGAGTATTAGTCTTTTCAGAGTGAGACTCAGTCATGGATTTAACACCCAACGTTCAGTGTATTACCTAAGAAGAGAGCATCGGTAAGAGCTGACCATTGTGGCAGGGCCTAGGCAAGTGATTTTCTTAGAACGGCTCCAGTGCCTGAAGGGAATGTTAGTGTTGACTTAAGTAACATACAAGGGCAAGCATACACTGAAAGGAGGTGGGAGATACATGAGAACAAACATGAATGTGTATTATTGGTGGAGTACCAGACATTATATTTATAACAACATCCTCTGTTGTAGACAATGTTTCCAAAAATCTCAAAACCATGAGCCTCTAGGGAGAGAGCACTAGGTAAACAATGTAGAGAACAGGAAAGATAGAAAGAAGTAGAGTTCTTCACAAAGTTGCAAATGAGGACAAATGATATACTTACTTTTTTTATATCAACATGAAGCTTGGTGCTGATAAATGTTGGAGTATATGTAACCAAGAGGGTATTTGTCCATATAAAAGCTGAACCACTCAAGAATATGGCCCAGAGTGGAAGAGACTTAAGCATAGCCTTGATTGGTAGAGATTGTCTACTTGAGCTGGCCTAGAAAATAAATAATTGGTCGTTGTCAAAAGAAAATAAGATAGGACTTGCTTTGTTTGGAGTGGGACGTAGAAGATGTCAAAACAGAGCACTGTGTTCTACCTGCTGGGCGAGAGAAGATATGATGTATTCTTTTTCACTGATGCTGATACATGGGTGATCCTTGGGGTCATCATAAACCAGAACGAACCAGATAAGACATAGAACACAGCCACAAGCACCTATAAATGAGGTACAAGTTATAATTGGAAATTTCTCTCTATAACACCATGGAGTTTCTCTTTCTCAAAAGGGCATTTTGGGTGTGCATCTATCTGAGAACCAAGGCTCAAAATTTTTCATTGCTCTGTTAGTCCTCACCTTTATAGAAATGGCAGTCAACCTCCTGGCCCATATTGACTGCTAGCTTTTGTATTTCTCCACTTACTTTGACCTCTCTTGGACCCTTAACTTTTCAGATTCCGCATTTGTTCCATGATAAGAAAAATGGAACACCTGGGCCAGCTGTGGCTTGATAATCATTCAGATTTGAGAACTCAGCCTTACCAAGTCCCTGAGATATAACCCAGGCTTCAGAGATTATTCAAATCCTATAAATACGTACCAAATCATCTGTTTTTTTTTTTAACATTTTACATTAACAATCTCATAATAGAGAATCTCAGAATAGTTTGTAGTATTTGTACTTAGTTTTGGAGAAATACATTCATTTATTTTACAAATATGTTTATTATGTACATCACTATTCTAGATCTTGAGCAAACAGCAGTGAATAAATTAACCCAAATCTCTGGTTTTGAGGAACTGACTTTTTTGAGATGATGAGAAAGAGATGATTTTTTTACAGTCCTCAAATTTCATATGGTATTGTCATTATATCTTATTCAGAATGAGATAGAAATATCAGATTATCTACTTGAGGTAATAAATGGTCATTGTGTGATAACTGAGCCATAAGCATTATATTCTCTAAGGAGCTAGAGGAGGAGGCTGGGGTTGAGCTGTGAAGTGAATGAATACTTAATATGGCAAGGAAAAAAGGTTAGATCATTAAAAAAAAAAACAGAAGGAATGGTTATAAAGACAAAGTTCAATGAATGTAGGACAGAGTCTAATGAGACTGATGACCAAACCTGAAAACAAGAGTCAGAAGAAAGTGCTAAACATAAAAAAAATTGTACTACATTGTACTGTAAGTAAAAAATGTCCTTAAGAGGAAGTAAGATGGTGGCCAAACAATGAGGAATTGCTCTAGCTCTATCTAACCAAATAGACATTTGGGTTCCTAACACATACTGCTCCCCAAAAGATCACCACCAGCAACAAATATATAAACAAGCAGAGATCCAGTAGACTGGATCCAAGAAGAAATACTTCTAGAGACATCATAGTAAATAACATTAGGCATGAGTAGCAAGGAACTGAGCTATATTACAATGGAAAGAAAATTAGAATCACTGCAGACATCTCCACACAAATTCTCAATACAAGGAGAATCTGGAATGGTATAATCCAACCACTGAAGATCAACAACTGCCAGCCCAAACTGATCTACTCAGTGAAGTTATCATTTACATTTACAAAACCTTCCATGAGAAACAAAAATGAGAGGAATTCATGATCACTAAACCAGCATTACAATGAATTCTAAAGGAAGGAATACAATCTGAAGAAAACAATCAAGAAACACATCAGGCAAAAGTTACTAGAGGATCAAATTAGTAAACACAGGGAGAAAAAGCAAAATACAAGAAATCAACAAAATGGCAGGAGATATGACACATCTCTCTATAAAAACCCTACATATTAATGGATTCAATTCTCCAATCAAAAGAAAAAGAATAGCAGATTAGATCAAAAAAACAAGATCCATCCAATGATTGCATTCTGTTTTGTGTTATTTGTTAAATGATTAACACTTCTACTAATTATGAAATATGTATTTTAATATATTACCTATCATTTATTGAATAAATAAAAGATATTAATTTCTGATCTTAGATAAAAGAATTCAGATACAGACATTTGCACAAAATAGCATACCTTTAAATATACAGAACCATCAAGAATGTCATAAAGGCCATCAAACTAACCTATAATAGAAAATAGCCCTATTGCAAGAGGAAGGAGGAGGAAGAAGAGGAGGAGGAGGAGAAAGAGGAGGAGGAGGAAGACAAGAGAAGGAGGAGGAGGGGTCCCTAGCATAGGGTCTTTGCTTCCTCCACCACCCCACAAAAAGTATATATAGTATAATTTTTAAAAAATTACCAACCTCCCCCAAATGAATGTCTTTGATATGACCAACAAAGAATTAGTGAGCTTGAAAAAATGCTAATGCATATTTCTAAAAGTGAATTGCAAAGAATCAGACAAAAACAAATAAAGGACCATGAAAAAAATAAAATATCCAAGAACTATGGAGCAATTACAAGAATAACATACATGTAGTGATAATATCAAAAGTAGAAGAGAAAATAGAACAAAGTAAATATTTGAAGCAGTAATAGTAAATTATACATAATGGAAGTTTAGAGAACACCAAGAAGGATAAATACCCAAAACTTTGCACCAATATGTATCATATTCAACTTGAGAAATCATCATCTCCCTAAAGGAAAACATTGTCTTGAGATGTAAAACACCATCTACTTAGATTTATTTAACATTATTGGCAAGGACAAATAATTTAGATATATTTAACATTATTGGCAAGAACAAATAATTTAAAAATCTATATTAGATTTAGTTTTGCCTACTCCAAAATGACAGGCAGATCATTTGACATCATATGCTCTAGTAAAAAATATGTTGCAGATCCATAAGTCACTGCCACTTAAGTCCTATTCCCTCTTAAGAAATGTACGCATTATCCTGCCCATGTAATTGTAACCCCTCTGTACAGTATGTTCACAAATTAAATTAAATTAAATTAAAAAAAAAGAAATAAGGAAAAGGCATATGAGACACTACACCGTAAAGCTGTTGTCACAGTGTAACATATACTGCCTTCCTTTGAGTTTCTTGGACCCTCCTGTGGTAACTGCAATTCACTTTCTAGTATACATGATGTTGGAGTATCGCTACAACATGAATACCGAAGGTCATCCAGCATTTGATCAGCATCTTTGAGGAGGTATTAAAACTTTTTCTGGCATGAGACTGAAACTTTATGTCCCTGTAATTTCTGCACATTTGATTTAATTTTTTAGCACAATTAGGATTTGAATTTAGATTATGTGCTTGCTAGGCAAGGCACTCTACCACTTGACCCATGCTGTAGACCCCTTTTTGAGATAAGATCTTCCTTTGCACTCAGGACCAGCCTAGACCACACCCTCTAATTTGATCTTTCCTGTGTATCTAGGAAGACAAGCTCATACACTGTGCCCAGCCATTGTGTTTTCCCTGTAGCCAGGATGGCAGGTGCATGCCAAGTATTCAGCCATTGACATGGAGTCTAACAAAGTTTTTCCTTTGACACTGATTTTAAACAACAATCTTCCAATATCTACCTCTCAACTAGCTAGGATTACAAACTTGAGTTACTGTGCCTGGCTTCTATTTAGTTTTTAACTGAAGATCAGGCCTGAATTTCTCTTAAAATACAAGACTTCTAGATAAGACAGTCTCAGCTGTTCAACCAATTTCATGATACAGGGTTTGTGTCCTATTACTACACTGGCTATTCCTTGCTACTGATAACCAATGTGGATATTAAGAGAAATGGCATTTTGAAGTGTGGAGTGTTTTCACATTATGTCTCACTATGTGAACTGGAAGTTTTCTGTGTATTCCCCTCATCTACTTTCCTTCTCCCTTCACAAATTTGAGAATGACATTAGAAAGATAAAAGTAATTTTATCATTCATTTTGGTAGCATCAATCCTTAAATTTTGTTGTATTCCAATTTGTGTAGCTAATTTTTTACTGAAGAAATTAATGGGTTTGATTATAAAATAAGTGCTGCAGATAATTCTTGGGGTATTAAGTATAACTAGTACATAATCTTTCAGAAATCTGAGAAGTTAATTATGCCTTGTTTGTAATAAAGTTGTTTGAATGTTGGTGCCGTGTTTGAATGTTTTTACTCTTTCCTATTGTGAAGCTTTTCACTTTTAATATTGACTCACATACATAGTGTTTTTGTTTTATTTTTTCTTCTTAAATTCTGACCAATATTATGAGAAGAGACTCACCAAAAATATAGAAGACCATGGGCCAGCCCAGAAGATCACAGATGAATCCAGACACAAGCATGACAATGAATGGTGCCAACAGGAACCCTAATCAAAAGGCACCAAAAAACAAAGCCCCATTAAATTAATATAAGCACTTGAAGGAAGGAATGTATCTTTGCTATAGTAAGGAACAAGTTCCTATGAAATAAACGTGTTAGCTTAACATTTATCAAAAGGAAAGGATAAAATATTTACTTTTCTCCCTTCTGCTGTAATGCTTGATGTAAGCATGCCTCTTTCCATTCTAAACCATTTCCCTATCTTTAAAGGATGAATACATAGTTCAAACATACGTTTCTCATGGCATGTGAAAAGAACATGGCACCATGATATGAAATGGAACTTCAACTATTCTAGACCTTAACTCCTTACCTGATAAACAAATAGAGGTAAGTCGGCCTCGTTCTAAGGGAGGAGCCCACTTAATCCACATTCCATGCTGTGCTGCTGTTACCGTCCCCTGTAAGGGGAAAATGAGGACATTTTACTTCTGATGGCTACTGTGAATCTAAATCTTTTTAGTTGCACCTTATCTTAATACCTGAGCCATCCCCTGGGCTACTCGACACACAATAATCAAAGTCTTGCCAGTTTGAGCTGCTGGTGGAATGAACAGGGAGAGCACAGAGCTGAAGAACAATGCAAAGCCAACCATTTTCTTTATAGAGTATATTCCAGATAAGTACCCAACAGGAAGTTGGACTGCAACTGCTCCATAGAAGATGGAACTGAAGATGATGCCCTGGATATCAGGGCTCCAGTTATATACAGGATTCTGAAAGAAAATGGGAGATATATCAAACCATAAAGTTATATGGGAGTGATATTATGTGATATTTAGGGATTCAAGTAGTATGGTCTTTCTGATCAACCCATGTAAAGTTACTACTTTCTCCCTACTTATTTTTTGTCACAGGACCACTTTCATTCTCTTACAATGTATATAGATAGTTGATATAGAGCTAGAGGGCTATATGTCTATATTTACATATACATATGTTTATATGTGTATATACTATAAGAGAATAAAGCTATATATACACTATATATACACTTATATACATATACACATTATAAACATTACATAGCACCATATATTCTGCAATCACTTCCTCTTGCCTTTTAGCTTCCTCTAACTTCCTCCATTAACTTGAGCTCGTTTACAAAATAATCTTTCCCCAAATATACACTGTTCCCAGGGAGGAAATGGCAAAGAGAAGATCAAACCATGAAGAGTCTTCAGTCTGAGGTGTGGATGGGTCAATAAAAGAAAAAGACCACCTCTTCCTATATATGCTTGGCTCTCATGTACTTTATTTTTCCCAGAAGTGGATTCCCTTGTCAATTTCTAATTAGGAGGCCTCTATAGTTTCATTACATTTTTCAAGTTGATAAAAGAAATTATGACCTTGTTGTTGGGACTAAGAAATAGGTTGTATATATGTATAGACATACAGTTCTAGAAGACAACATTTCTATGGAAGTGTCTAAACTTTCTGTTAATTGCATGATTAAGAAGACCATATCAGAAATTAAAGTTTTCTGACTAAAGAATAAATGTGCTGGAAGGTGATTTTGGTTCATAGTAAATAAGGAAATAGGAATCAGTCTGTTTGATCTTTTGTTACACTTACCTGGTCCTTTGTATTTATCTATTTTTCTTCCTTTCTCAAATCCCTGTCATCTTATAGCTGTTTTCTATTGAAGGCAATGTCACTGCTAGATGGAGATGGACTTTCATGGGGAGATTTGGTAGGAGTGCCAATAGGGGGGGATAGTGAATGATAATGGGTAAGGTGCATCCATATAGTAGCTAGGGGATCAAGGAGGCTGCAGATATTTTTTGTGGAAGAGGGGTACCCAGAGAATGAAGCAGAATGTCCTGCCATGTTTTTCTAAATCACTGGGAGCACTAGGGAAATTATTATACACCCTTCTGTACATCAAGTGTGCCAGAAGACATTTACCCAACTTCCCATGGGTATATAAACAGATCACTCAACACCTCTTTATCTTATGGAGTAGCATCACTCTCCACAGCACAGCATGGAAAAAGAGCCCACCTAATGGATTGAAACCACCAAGCTTAGACTGAAAAGTATGCATATCAGAAGGACAATCTTCAATGTGTATTTCTCTATCCAATGCATCAAGTAGTTATCATTGAACAATATACTACATATGTAAATATATAAATTACCCTATAGAAACCTTAAGGATACACATACCTACATTTGTATGGGTATATATAAATTAATAGGAAATATACAGTTATCTCAATAGGTAAGATAGATTTAGGGTATCAATAGATTAGTTACAAAAGATAAAATTGAAGTAACTAGTAATAAAGGAATGTCTATTTTAAAGAATTTCTGTCAGGTTGGTAAACTTAAATAGGATAATGATGTACATGTTAGCTTTGATGGCAAAGTGCAGTCTGATTACTAAATATTCCTCCCAGATTTTCTTCCTCATTTTGTTTTTTTTCTCCTCTATTTTCAGTATCTCTGGTGAGCAGGTGTCTTTGTGGTATCTATTCTTTTTTCTTTTCCCACTCAAAAAAGATAGATTCTGTTTTCCATTCTTTTTGCCTTACAAGGTTAATTTTTTTTTAAGAATATGTATCTTTACCTTCCATTTCTAGATTACAATGTCTTTTCTTTTTCCTCTCTGTCTTTCCCTAAAAAAAGAAGCTCTATTTCCTGGGCTTTATTATTCCTCACATAGAAGAAAGTCAGATGACAGGCCCTTTAGAAACATCAGAGAATTATCTTAAGTATGTCACATGCTTATTTATGTCATTACTTGCAAGGAAGACCTGGATTTGAGTTTCTTTTTCTAGTTACCATTGCCCTATCAATAACATTTACTCTCTACACAAATTAGCTAACCAGACAGGATTTTAAACTTAGGACTTCAGGTTGTATCCTTGATATACCTTTACATAATCCAGCTCTGTTTTTGTAGATGTGTTCGTCAAATCCTGAGGATCTGTTATGTTCACCATAGCCACCATTGTAAGGCTCAGACATATGCGCTGGGCCATTATTACAAAGTTGCAGGCATGCAGAAGGACAGCCAGGCAATAGCGAATGGAACAAAACCCTGGAACTTGAGACAGAAACAGAAAGCTTTACTTATTAAGAAAGTTGAGGTGAAAATGCTCTTTAATTTTAAGAAAGACCACCCAGAAATTTGGAGGCCTTAATAATGAATTAAAATTGTATTATACTAATGGTTTTTGGGAAATTATAATATAATAGGAAGGTGTGTAAAAATCTCACAGCCCAGTAAATTATAAGTCCAATTACAATGTCTCAGGAAATTAATCTCATATTTATTTTTAAAAGACTCAAGCTGGGTACCAGCGACTCATGCCTGTAATCGTAGTTACTTAAGAGGCTGAGAATCATGGTTTGAAGTCAACTTGGGCAGGAAAGTCTATGAAGTTCTTCTCTACAATTAACCACAAAAAACAGTAAGTGGAGCTGTTGCTCAAGTGGTAGAGCACTACTAGCCTTGAGGACAGAAGCTCAAGGACAGAGCCCAGGCCTTCAGTCCAAGCCTGGCACTTGTACATGTGCACGTGTGCACATACACACACACACACACACACACACACACACACAAATTAACTACCAAAAATACAGAAGTGAAGCTGTGGCTCAAGGGGTAGAGCACTAACCTTGAGTGAAAGGAGTAGGGAAGAGCCTGGGCTCTGAATTTAAACCCCAATATGAGCACATGCATGCACACACACACACACACATACACACACACACACCTCAACAAAAGCCTAGGCTTTCTCTTCTTTTTAACAACAACAAACATATTTTTTCTTAAAACAAACAAAATCCCTGTTCTGTTCTCCAAATTTATAAGAATACTCTGGTTGAGAAACTCACATTTCCCAATGGAAAGAAATGTTCATTAAGAGAATGTAATTCCTTCCTGAGATAGATATCAAGCTAGAGTAATGAATAGTGTTAGTGTAATGCCAAGCAAATACACCATTGGAAGAAAGTAGGGAGTCAGAAATATTTAGGGTTAAATGTTTCTCAATATGCAAATATAATTCAGCAGAGGAAAGTAAAGTCTGTTTCAGTGAACAGTACTTTCTCAAGACAAATATGAATGTATGCTTACGAAAAAGACCTTCACATAAAGTGTATAGCTGCTTTAGTCAAAACTACTGAATGTTTTGAAAGAATAAACATATGGTGTAACACAAGGCATATTTGTCAGAATTAAAATGGAAGGAACCACTGATGCACTCAACAATCTGGATGATTCTCAACAAAAACATTCTCAGCTGAACACGCTAGACTCCAGAGACTGCATATTATAACTATCTATTTTTATGAACTTCAAAAACAGAGAAAATGAATCTACCTGGCCTCCACCATTTCCAAAGCCAGCAGAGGGAAGCTCCCTGACGTTCCATTCGTGTCACACATTGAATCCCTCTAACTGCTTCCACTCTGACCTCTAGACCCACACTTAAAACAATCACGTGACTCAATCAGTCTCACCTTTCCCCCTATTTAAGATCAGCTGAGGCTGGTTACTACAGGCAGGCCTATAATCCCAGATACACCGGAGGTAGAGATCAGGAGAAGCATAGTTTGAGCTTAGCTTGGTTAGAAAGTGAGATTCCCTTCTCAACTATAAGAAAAGAACCTAGATGTTTGTCATCACACATATGTAGAGTGTTTAGATAGGAGGATCAAGGTTCTGGACACCCTCTCTCAAATAAAAGTATAAAGGCCTAGGGGTATGGTACATGTGGTAGAGTGTCTTCCTAGCAATTGTGAGGCCATGAGTTCAAACCCCGGTACAACCAAAAAGAAAAGAGAAATTCAGCTGTGGTCAGGCACAGATTTATCTTTTTATGATTACTTTGTGTGGAGAGTCCTTCTCTTCTAGTTGTCCATAAACTAGTTTGGCTAGTTTTTCTCAACAACACATCTATTACAACAAGTAAGCGTATTGGATAAAATAAAGTTAAAATAAGTCATTTAAATTATTAATTTATTCATTTAAAGTATGAGTAATATGTCAGAAAAGATAAACTAGAACAAGCCCATAGTGACCATAAGATCCTTAAAACACAAGATGAGCACTGAAAACAGATTTTGCTATGAAGATATTTGATCTTATGAAAGAGGACAAAAGGAGCAAAACACTAGAACCCTAAAAATGGGAAAGTACAATATGAGGGCCTCTTCCAGAATGATTACATGCCAAAGAATTCCTGGGTCAATGATAACCACTTTGAGCAGAGAGCTGCAAAAAATATTTGTGCTTGAGTGACCCCTGGAGCGCAGCAGAAGAAGGAAAAATGCCCCTGAGAAATTAATCATCAGCTAGCTCTTTCTTTAATGTGGAGCCTAAATCCAGCCTTGAGGACATCTGAAGAAAAAAAATCTCAAACCACATAGAAGTATGTGCACATACTACAAAAAGAAAAAGCTTAGTAAACTTTCAACCAATTATCATCCAAAGATGTGGGACTCAAGAGTATCATGCTGCCTCTCTTCCTTCCACAGATCTGGATCCTTCTTGAGGATGCAGCCTGGTATTCTCCACCAAATGGCAAACTGAGACATGGACAATGGAAATAGCAACTCACTTAAAGTGTTAATAACCAGAGTATACAGAAGCTTTTTAGTTAGGGATTTTCTGATTTTTTTAAAAATCTCCTTTCTTGAACATTTCTAAGAATTTTTATGTTTTCCCCCCCACAGAAAAATTCTTTCACATGGCATATATAAGCTATATAATACAATTGGTATTTTTATTGAAGAAGAACTTTACAGTATGACTAAGAGTAGAGAGCTACCTTTCTTGGGATGGAGCTGGTGATCCATTTGCTGCTGTGGCTTCTCTTCTTGTTGATGAATTTGGTTCCCATCCACTGTGGGTACAAAGACACTGGTATCAGTGTAATGTAGGGTAGCAACTCACCAAATCCCACCCATTACTCCCCTGATGTAAAACCTGCATCAAAGGGCAGTTTGCTCTATTATACCAATGCCCTTTCACCTCCTCCATGTGTTGCCTCTGACATTTCACTTGTATGATGTTTTTGGTTTATAGAAAGTATACAGAAAGCCTGCATATACACTAGCCTGGGTGCTAGTGGCTCATGTCTCTAATTCTAGCTACTCAGGAGGATGATATCTGACTATCCTGGTTTGAAGCCAGCTCGAGAGAAAAAAGAAAGTTGATAACATTTTTATCTCCTATAAATCAGCATTAAGCTGGAAATGGAGGTGTGGCTCAAATAGTAGAGTGCCCGCGTTGAATGAAAAAAGTTAAAGGACAGTGCCCAGATTCTGAGTTCAAGCCCCCCTACCAGCAAAAGGAAAAAAAAAAGAACATAGAAAACCTGAAAACCATAGAAAAGAAACAACTCTCTTAGCCCAAAATATTATATACAGTGATGATATCACTCAAAAGGGAAGGGAAAGACACAGACTTTATTAAACAGAAATTGAGGGACCTCATTACCAAGCAGACCTTTCCAATAAGAAATACTAAAGAAGTCTTCAAGCAGGAAGACTGCCACTGGTTAAAAACTTGTACCATACCAAAGAGAAGAACAAATAAATGTGAAATAAAACTTCTGTATATTAATACATCTATTTGCTTTTTCTTATCACTCTCTTGCAGGGGAGAAAATAATTCTGCACATCCCTGTGTGGCCCTGTGGATAGCTTCAGCTTCTCTGGATAAAGAAACTTCGATAGCTAACTCTGTAAAAATGCCAGTCTCAGTGATGAGGCTGAATTAGAAGGAAAGCAGCCTTCTATCAGGCAATCTCTTATCATTAGAATTCAATGGCAACATGGATTTGGCCAATCTAGACTTTGGGATTTGACTGTATTAGTTTTGGGGACACTAGATCCTAAGACTTAGATTGCAAAATATTTTTGAATGAGCATCATTGTTCCATTGGAACCTCTCTGGACCTGTTGTTTATCCTAACACTCCCCTCCACATACCACAGCAATGCACCCCACTCATACTATCCAGAAATACTTATAAACCATATATAAATACACAACTCCCACATACACACAGCTTATATAAACAGTCTAGGTTCCTCTCTTGTTTGGCATATATCCACTTAATAAACACTACACACACACACACACACACACACACACACACACACGCACGCACGCACGCACGCACGCACGCACGCACCAAACACACAAATGTAATAAGACATACATATTATGTATGCATGTACAAATTGCACACTACAGACCAGATATACAACACCCTCACATCCTATGCACACAGCTCACCACATACATGAAAGACACACTTATTCCCACACTTGACCACTAACACACCACACCACTTATACATAACACAAGAGCCACATGTTTGTCTGTGTCCTTATGCACAATTATTTACTCCTAAACTGTTGTTTTTCTTACCATATACAAAGCCTCAGAAGAGAGACATCTTTTTTCCACCAAACTATCCCCATATGATTAAATATCTTCAGTAAGATCAGGAAAGGACTACCTCCCCCCGCCAAGTCCTCAGATTTCATTGTTAATTTCATTCAGCATTTCATAAGAGTACTACTAACCTGATTCAGAATGAAACAGCTATTCCTCTTTCTCCTGACTTTTCACTCAGCTTAACATAAAGCGGAATTCTGAATTCTGAATTGCTAGCTTCACCTGTAAATCCTATACCAAGTCCTTTGACCTCATCATGCCAAAGCTAATAGTTTAATTTTTAACTTTATGTTCACCCTTGTCTTGAGTCTTCTGAGGAGACATATGAGTCTTCAAAAAAAATCCATGGAACTAGAAGCTTATTGGGAATTTGTTAGCAATTTCATAGTTTATTAAACAGATACCTTTAATCTCTAACTTTATCCAGGAGGTAGAATTTTCCTTCCAAAGGATTTTTTTAAATATTGTCAAGGTGATATTCATAAGGGTTACAGTTACATAAGGTAGTGAATACATTTCTTTTGTTATGCCCTCCCTCATTTTTCTCCCACTTTCCCTCCCCTTGACCCTCCCCCAAGTTGTACAGATCATTTCCAACATATTGTTTTATATCATTGTTGCACTAGTTCCCAACCCCCTTGTCCTTGTCTCATGGTCCCAGTATCCAATGCTAAAGGTTTCATGACCTTCTAAATGCCCTGCAAATGTCCTTTATTTTCTCCCTTTCTTTCTTCCCTCACAGCTTCTTTCTTTCCTTCCTTTCTTCCTTCCTTCTTCCCCTCCCTTCTTCCTTCTGTATTTCTTTCCCTTTCTCTTTCCCATCTCCATTCTTTTCCTCTCATCTCCCATCCTTTACCACCCCTTCAAAGTTTATAACCATTTGACATTCAACATACTCAGAAAGATGTACACTGTTTCCTTTATTATATCAGTATTTATTAATTATTCAAAGGTTTTGTATTATGGTATTTCCATACATGCATATACTTCAGTCAAATTAACCTGAAACTGTGAAGATGACCTACTGATTATCCAGGAACATCTAAGCCCTGTGTCAGAAATTTCTTGTTATTAGATTCCTAACTGTTTATCTTCTTATTATGCATTTTATTTTATTTTTAGAGACAAGTACTTGCTCAGAAAGATATACTCCACTTTTTTGTTGTATATTAATTGTACAAACCAAATCTGTTCTTGAACTCGGAACTTCCTGCTTCATCCTCTTGAACACTGGGGCTGTAGACATGCATCAATATGCTCTACTTTTGATTTTTTGTTTTGTTTTTCCTGTGCTGGTCCTAGGGCTTGAACACAGGGCCTGGGTGCTGTCCCTGAGCTCTTTTGCTCAAGGCTAGCACTCTACCACTTGCATCATAGCTCTACTTCTAGTTCTAGTTGTTAGAGATGAGAGTCGCTGATTTTTCTTCCCAGACTGGCTTCAAACTACGATTCTCAGATCTCCTGAGTAGCCAGGATTTTAGCAGTAACCACCAAGGCCAGGCTTTTACTTTGCTTTTTAAATAATCCTTAGATGTTTGGAATTGAGCAGATGCTCCATAAATTGAACCATTTTTTAAAAAAAACTTTTCTCTCTAAAGAAATGTTAAAAAAATCTTCCCTTTTGCCCAAGATTTATGTTTTGTTATTCAGTTAGTTTTTTGATTATTCATACATTTGTGTTGTTTCTTCCTTGTGAATTCCAGGAAGTTTGTGCTACCTGTTCTACTACCATAACCAGCAATGTCAGGCACTTTCTGGAAAAGGGGTCCTTTTAATGATTGAAAGCCCCAAGTCAGCAGTAGTTGCTCAATGTTCATGTCTGGAACAAACACTCCCAGTTGGCGTCAGTGTCCGAAGTTCTGGGGACTGATTACATAAAGACAAAGCTATTCTTCTGTTCCCGGGCTCCAAAACTTTTGGTAACTTTTATGAGCCTCTGAAGTTGCTTCATCTGGACTATCTGATCTACTTCGTAAATTTAATATTTACTATGAAAAATTTTAAAACAAAAAAGGTATAATAGGCTAATATAACCATATAGCTATTAACTAGCTTCAACAATGATCAATATTGGACCATTGGAGTTTGAGCATCCAATGATTGTTTACTGTCATAGTTTAAAGCAAATCTTAGATAGGACATCATGTATCGTATAAAAAGTTTGGCATGGATATCAAATTCATTAGGAATTTTTAAAGCCTAACTAATATGTCATCAGGCATCTAGTAAATAAACAAAATCTCCTAATGTCATTGAATCCCCAATTTTCGCAATTGCTTCAAACTTGTCTTCTTTATACTTGATTGATTTAAATAAAGGCCATAACAGGATTCATACATCATTTAACTGTTAGTATTCTTGTGCTCCTATTCTATAATATTCTGTTACAATCCTCTCCCTAAATTTATATTTGCTGTTACTTAAAAACAACAAAATTAGGTCATTTGCAGAGTGTCTCTCACAATTGATTGTCAACTTCCTTTTAGTGTCACATATATTTCTTTATTTGCTATATCTTGTAAATTACTAGATATATTGAGACTTGGTAAAATTCTCAGCAACCTTCACTTATGTCTTTTAGCAGCTGTAAGTAAATATTGCTGAAATCTATTGTATAAGTTTGTAAAATGCTGTTTTTTTTTTCCTGATTCCTTCAGTCCTTTTTTTTTTTTTTTGCCAGTCTGGGGCTTGAACTCTGGGCCTGGGCACTATCCTTGACCTCCTTTTGCTCAAGGCTAGCACTCTAACACTTGAGCCACAGTGCTACTTCTGGCTTTTTTGGTGTTTAATTCAACTTTCTTCCTAGGGCTGACTTTGAACTGTGATTCTTAGATCTCAGCCTTCTGAGTAGCTAGAATTACAGTTGCGAACCACTGACATCTGGCCTCATCAAATTGTCCCTTCAAGCTGATTTCAATGTCATTATACCATGACCTTGTACTCTTGGATATCTTTTTTGTTTCATAGCACAAGAAAAATTTCCAGGCTCTTCATCTATTTTCTTTTTCTTTTTGGTCTATTGTGGGGCTTGAACTCTGGGCCTGAGCGCTGTTCCTCTCAGCTCTTCAGCTCAAGGCTAGCACTCTACCACTTGAGCCACAGAGCCACTTCCAGTTTTCTGGTGGTTTATTGGAGATAAGAGTTTCAAGGACTTTCCTGCCCAGGCTGGCTTTGAACCGAGATCCTCAGATCTCAGCCTCCTGAGTAGCTAGGATTACAGGCGTGAGCCACCGGTGCCCGGCTTCTTCATCTATTTTCTGTTTACAGACTTGGGACTTACAAAGAAGTGCTAGTTCTTTTGGATAGAAATAATGTTTGTAGATATCAGACTTTTGTACCGTTTCATATCCCTGGATTGTGTTAGGAATGAAAATTCATCCAGTTTGGTTTGCAGCAGAATGGTAAAGAACTGGGGAGATATGGTTGTATCAGAATGTGCAACCTGATTACCAAATGCAATTGAATATTTCTTACTTTGATGGGAAGGATCACTACATTGATTTATTTTTGCACCTGTGCATTGATAAGTCTAAGGTAAGGATTTCCTAAGACTGAACCTAAGCTGTATGCATTGCTAATATTGAACAAACTCCACATATTGACTAGATGTTCCATTGCCTTCTTGCTTCAATTACTTCTGATAGAAAAGCTTTACTTATCAATATATTTTTTTCCTTTGAAGGGCAACAATTTTATTTTTTTAGGAAGTTCTTACTGTACATTTTCCAAGAGAGTCATGTAAGCAATCAAAAACTAGATCCTCCCCTCATTCTAGACATAAATAACATGGGCATAACATTTTCTTTTTTAAATTATGACCCTTGGAACTTTAGCACCAGCATCCAGAATAAACAAAAAAAGGTGGGGGAGCGAGCCTTTTATATATTTCAGATTTTCTTTGGGAGGGGTTCTCTCCATATGGTATTAATATTTCTTCTTTCAATTCATAGTACCATCATATATATATATATATATATATATATATATATATATATATATATCCTAATGATTGTTGAAACTGGGAGGGTTCTCTCTTGCATTCTGTGCAGGCATTCCTGGATTGCAGCTTGCAGGAAAAATTGCTGGCATTTTCCTTTTGTAGTTGTTAGTTTCACAAAGGATAATAGCAAATTATTCTAATGTCCACTTGGTTAGTCGTCGACTTTACTGTTAGCTGTTTCTTTGGTAGTGGTAAGGTCGTAGGTGTGCTTTATTTTTGAATGATCATTAATTCTTTAGGTCACCCTATGGGTGCCGGTCAGCAGCTCAGCGACTCCCTTCCGCGGGAGCTCCATCCTGGCCAGCCCGGTTGGCTGCTTCGGCACCCTTTCCTCCTCCAACCACAGCAAACTCGACTGTCTCGCCATCCCCTTCACTGCGCAGGCATTTCTGTGGATTTGTCTTCCTGGTGGCCGTCTGATGTACAAATACATCCATTCCGATTCATAAATCCATATCCATTTCTGACATCGAACCACTTCACAGTGCCAAGGACGTTGGTGGCTAGAACTTTCTCTGGAGTTTTCACTGCCGGCGGGGGCGGCGTCCCCGCCCAGGTTCCCGGACGCCAGGGCCAGGGCTGCGCCGCCGACCGCCAGGCTCTGGGGCGCGGGGTCCG